TATTCACAATCAGCGCCAGAAACTTGCTTTCTCGGCCGCTGTTTTGATGAGCCTCTTCCCGGTGGCCATGATTCGACATTGATAACGATGATTCGACATTCATAACGATGATTCGACGTTGAATTATCGTTGAATAATTCGATTATCATTGAATAATAATTTGAATAATAATTTAAAAAATAACACCAGGCTTTAAGTTCACTGTTGTATTCTGTATGTAAGTTTTTTTTATAGTTATCGGAAGCTTAAAGTTCACCGTTGTGCTTATGTAGAGGTCACTGTAAGCAATACAGCCAGTTCGATATGGTGACAAGAAATGGTGCCCCCAACTCCTTCGGGGACGGTCGGGGATTGAACGCCGATCTGCATGAAGCGAGACCTTCAGAAGGTCAGCCTCTGACCTTCCAGAGCAGCGCTGAAACTACCAACGATATTACCACGACCACTACGACAATATCTGAAACGACAGATGTTGCCACTGTCGCCCGTAGAGTGTGTCTGGTTCTGATGATGATGAAGATTAAGCCACCCAAAAGGTGGCACGGGCATGAATAGCCCGTAAGTGGTGGCCCTTTTGAGCCATTACCAGTATCAAGAGCTGATACTGGAGATCTGTGGAGGTGCGACTGCACCCTGCGTGACGGGAGATGTCTCCCTTGTGACCAAATGGGTGTCTGGTTCTGATTTGGTGCTATTGTTATAAGCGATTCTGATATTGTTGTGAAACCCATAACAGTCGACTAACTCCATGCGTGACTGTTTACTGCTAGGTGAAATGAGACGAAATTACGAGAAAGCGCCAAACCGATAATAAACTGTCTCACTCTTCCTGGGAATCAATTGCCCAATTGCCCAACCACTTGGGCTGGACGGTAGAGCGACGGTCTCGCTTCATGCAGGTCGGTGTTCAATTCTCGACCGTCCACAAGTGGTTGGGTATCATTCCTTTCCCCCCCCCCGTCCCATCCCAAATCCTGATCCCTTCCAAGGGCTATATAGTCGTAATGGCTCGGCGCTTTCCCCTGATAATTCCCTCCCTCGCTACCCAATTACTGCTGGGTGAACAAAGGTGAATAGTTAAGGAGTGTTGCCCAGTCAATCCTCCCATGCCACTACTCGAACCCAGACCAAATCGCTCGCGGGGCGAGTGTGTTAACAATGGGCCACCAGGGGACTGTATTTTGATACTCCGTCACCGCCATTAGGATTCCAGCCTTTCGTACCCTATTTTACCCCCCATTTCTCCCCCATCGCCCCTGGTGACGATCAACGGCCAGGGAGGCAGCAGCGACCTTGTGGTGCGCCATAAGGAATGACAACATAGATAATGGGATCTTATGGCGCCATTATGGGAAGCTCTTTTGTCGTGTTGCCAACTCTAACCTCACTTTAATTATCCAGTCATTCTAGTCTCTTGAATGGTGACTTGTGCATAATTGGCGCTATATCATTGTTTTCGTTCTGGTTTTTGCTCAAATGTAATTTTTATTTTGTTAATAAATGGTATTCGTTGCGTCAAAAGCTATTGAGAATTGAGATAATAAATGTGATGACTGGGGATATATAAACGCCAGAATGTAAACAAAGATTGGATAGCGTTTGTGGAAGTAAAGAAGAATTTAAATCCTTCTGAAAGGGCATTATGGATATAACAAGAAAGCATCGGTAGTAAAGCAAAGCTGCGTATCTTTTTCATCCATTTTAAATGATTATCTTGATAGAGTTTAGGCTTCGCGTGATTTTAGTGCTTGTATAACCTAAGAAATAAAGTATCAAAGCAGACAGTAAATTATTCTCAAGACGCGTAACGGATAATCACAGACAACATCTAGGGTCCCGCTGCCCGTCTGTTCCGTCACTTGCAGCCTGTCTCACCCACCAACTGTCTCGCCCGCCCAAACGTCTCCCCACAAGGAATCTTAGTTTTTTTTTGCACCTGCAGTTATTCGGTCTCAACTCTCACACATCTGCATTCCAAGTGTTACGTTTGACACATCTCACAATTGCCTTGCTTATTTACCTTCGAGCTATCTTCAGTAGGCTTTGTTGTGTTGATTTAGGGGCGACGACGATCGTGGGATCGGATGCGCCCCTTCAGTAGGCTTTGAAGTACTATCTGTACAAAGTGGACGAACGGAGCGTTTGGGCAACATTTTCTTTCATACACTGTCTCTGGGGATTTGGGATGGGACGGGGGGTTAGGAATGGTGCCCAACCACTTGGACGGATTGAACGCCGACCTGCATGAACCGAGACCGTCGCTCTACCGTCTAGCCCAAGTTGGGTGAAAGAAACTCTGCTCATTTGTTTCCGCCTCCGTCGGGGATCGAACCCGGACCCTTAAGACTACGTGGCCAATGCGCTGTCCACTCAGCCGTCAGGCCCCAGCATATTTAATTCCTTTGGTATATACATATTGTATTTTAAATAAAGGATTATAACAAATTGGGAAGAAGACTTGCTGGATTGTTATATATATTCCTCCTGTCACTTGAATTATGTTTCGGCTGAGTGTGCCATGCGCAGTGGTGATATATGGGACGCGCAGGGCGGGCAAAACTAAGATAATTTAGTGACTTTTTTTAAAGCCTGAGAGCGCGCCAAATTTACATGATTTATGTCGACCGTAAATGTTTTAAGAAATCTGTTAAATTGATCGATGTTTTAAGCAACAAATATATTGTTTCAATAACTATCATAGGAAGCAGTAAACGTAGACAATATTTTATATATTTTTTGTTTAACTATTTTAAGCTGTAAGCTTACTTATTCAAAAAGACGACATAGAATACAGTGCAACAATTAATTAGTATTGTGTGCTAATTTAATAGAGTTTTTGCAATAATGGTATTAATAATAAATAATAGATGCAATATAATAAATTATCAATACATCTTACAAAATTTTAAGCTGCAAACTGCTTACAAAATCTTAATTAAGAGGGAACTAAGAGCGGCATTCATGCGTTTAGAAGAGTATCCCCCTGTCATGACAATTAATGTTACGTGCTTTTTCATTACTGGTCTTGACCCCCTTGCTATCTCTACACAACCGTCCCCAACCTGGCTCCTCCCACCAACTCAACGGACTCTTGGTTCAACCTTGACGCCGAGCGGACGTCTGGACGCCTCCTCCGCCTGGGAGCCGCCGGTTCACGTCCTGTTTTTTTTTTTTTTTTTTTTTTTTTTGAGATATATACAAGAGTTGTTACATTCTTGTACAGCCACTAGTACGCGTAGCGTTTCGGGCAAGTCCTTAATCCCATGGTCCCTGGAATACGATCCCCTGCCGCGAAGAATCGTTTTTTCATCCAAGTACACATTTTACTGTTGCGTTAAACAGAGGCTACAGTTAAGGAATTGCGCCCAGTAAATCCTCCCCCGGCCAGGATACGAACCCATGACATAGCGCTCGCGGAACGCCAGGCGAGTGTCTTACCACTACACTACGGAGACTGCTAAAGCGTTTTCGCGTTTTGGCTTTGCTACTGCCGTTTGGCATCCCTCTTCAACGGTCCGGTTGTCCGACGCCTGGCGCTCATATCGCCTTGGGTCACGGGATTGTTGATAGATTTTTTGTTGACGTGTTCTGATTGGTTCTCCCGGCGGGGTGACGGTGTTCGGGGGCCGGCTTGGCCGAGAGGTGCCGGGGGTTGGTGGGTCTTGGTGGGCTCCTGGTGTGCCCTCAGCCGTGGGGGGCGGCCGGCTTCTGCTCTGCCGGGGGACACTGGATGACTTTTTGCGTTTTAGTAGGGCAGAGTTTTGGTTTTGCTACCTGGTGTTCTCTGTGTGGGCCGGTGCTTGTCACCCTGAGGGACTCCTGGGACTCCCCAATCATCTGCCTGACTGTGCGTTTATTTGCCGTATGACATATTAGTTTCTAGTGATTGGCGTCACTTGTTTCTCGATTAGGCTTGGCGTTTCACCTTTCCTGGGGTCGTGAATCATCCTTAACGGGTCCGCCGGGGCGCATCCGATCTACGATCGTCGTCGCCCCTAAATCAACACCACCACCACCACCCCAACACGGCTCCTCCCACCACCCCAACACGGCTCCTCCCACCACCCCAACACGGCTCCTCCCACCACCCCAACACGGCTGCTCCCACCACCCCCAACACGGCTCCTCCCACCACCCCAACACGGCTGCTCCCACCACCCCAACACGGCTCCACCCACCACCCCAACACGGGTGCCCCATGATCGACACGAGAGCTTCCCGTAATGACCAGCGGGGCGGGAAGGTTAACAGCATCGTTAGGTATAATTACAGCTGTCGCAGAGGCGTCTTACACTAATGATCTGGCAATGACTTGTTAGACTGTGTGAAGTGAAGCCGGAATGTACCTCACAATTTGTGTCAATTATTGCGCCTGCAGAACCAGTTCTCTTAGCTCTTGGATCCCGCCTTTCTAACCGTCGGCGTATTGACTTTTTTCTTTATTAAATAATATACAATATAAAGATTATATTTACATCAATTTACATGTATGTAATTATTGTGATCGGCGTATGTACTCGGCTGGTTGTGTTTGCGTAGGGTTGAGCTTTGGCTCTTTGGTCCCGCCTCTCAACTGTCATTTCCTGAGCCTACTGGGCTCTATCATATCTACATTTGAAACTGTGTATGGAGTCAACCTCCTCCACATAAAACAAATAAACATTAAACATTTTATTTAAAAATTATTTTATTTATTCACTTCCTAATGCTTTCCAACTGTTAACTACTCTGACACTGAGAAAGTTCTTTCTTGTGTTGAGACGGTGAGGGAGAGTGTGTTGATATTGCATTCAAGGGAAGGGTTCAGATATAATAAGTATTGAGAGTATTATTAATATACAATGTATTAATATACGGGTATTAAGTTTTGAGAGAGAGAGTGTGTGCATTTTACCTCAATAAACTTATTTCGATTTAAATTCAAACCTATTACCGTAAGCTATGTACGTGGGCATGTTTATACCAAGTGATACTAAACCAGATTCATTTTTGCATTACAGCCGGTGGGCTAGGCGAAGATGTTGCTGGTGGTGGTGGTGGCGGTGCTGGCGGCGATGGCGGAAGCAGTGTCCCTGAATCCGACCTTCCGGCACGCTAGCGGCTTCCAGGCCGTGCCTTTCTACATCCATCCCCCGGAGAACATTCAGAGTAGTCAACCTCTTGATTACAAACACATCCTCTACAGCTACAGGTGTGTTGCATGGCCGGCCTCGCACATTCAGTTCAAAATTGACAAGTTTATTCGAAAGAATGTGTACAAATGTCATAATGTTAGGATTTTGTCCAATCTGTAATTGAATATATTTTACCGATTTCTGGATATTGATTTATACAGTCTGTATATATTTTTTGTTTGTAATTTATACATGATAGCCCTGTCTTGCTCATTCATATACGTTTATTGAGACGATAAAATATGTCTCAAAGGGATAGAACAGTTTAGGCTATTTCTATCCCCCCATGTCTTGCTCATACAATTTGCTGATGTCCTTAAACCCACTAATGACGTGCTTGGCGGACTCGTTCTCAGTTTCTCGCCGACGGAGATCAACATCCGTCACCGTGGACAGAATCCTGTCAGGTACAGTGTGCCTTCTAACATCCCTTACGCGGCGCCATACACGCAGGAACAGAACTCCGGCTTCGACAGAGGCCATATTGAGTTCCCCGGACCACCTGCACACAGAGCTCAGTTCGCTTCTCCATTAAACTATGCGGTGAGTTTTGTACTCAGGTTACAGTACTGTGGAATGCAGGCGATGAGTCACAATAACGTCAACACCATCACACCACCATCACCATTGATCATTGGAACACCATCAACATTGGTGTTCCTCAGGGCAGCATACTTGGCCCTCTCCTCTTTTTCATCTACATTAATGACCTTCCAAATGCCTCCCAACACCTCAAACCAATTCTATTTGCTGACGACACAACCTTCATTTACTTCAGTCCTGACCCCCTTGCTCTAAATGCCACAGTAAATACTGAGCTAAATAAAGTCCATCTTTGGCTAACTGCCAACAAACTCACCCTTAACATTGACAAAACTTTCTATATTCTGTTTGGCAATAAATCCTCTAATCAAATAAATCTCAAAATAAACAATACCCACATTTGTAACAAATTAGATGGCAAATTCCTTGGCATTCTCATTGACCACAAGCTGAATTTCCAGGGACACATTCTAAATATATCAAAAAAAGTTTCAAAAACTGTGGGCATTCTTTCTAAGATCAGATATTATGTACCCCGCCCTGCCCTGGTGACTCTCTATTACTCCCTTATCTATCCATATCTCAACTATGGTATTTGTGCTTGGGGCTCTACTACCCAAAATCACTTACGTCCTCTAATTACTCAACACAAAGCTGCTATTAGGACAATATCCAACTCTGGCCCCAGACATCACTCGGTACCCCTACTCAAATCTCTGAATATGTTAGACATTAAGTCACTGCACATTCTCTCATGTGTATTATACATATATAAAACGCTAAACTATAATGCCAATCCTGATCTCAAAAGCTTCATAGAAGGTTGTAACAGAACCCATGAGCACCACACCAGAAATAAATACAGTTTTGATATTCCTAGAGTACGACTTAATCAAACTAGAAATGCTCTACAAATCAAGGGGCCCAGAATGTGGAATGACCTTCCCAACCATGTTAAAGACTGTACCTCTCTCAACCAGTTTAAGTTAAAAACGAAGCTATACCTAATAAATTCCCTGTAACCTACCTTACCCTTCTATTGTCAACCAATGTCTGTTTTTTTTTAAAGAGCGCTGTTTGTCGACATTATTGTATTTGTGCTGCTTTTTCATCTATGTTTTCATTTCTTGTTTTCATTCTACTCATTATGCTCAATTAGTATTAAGCTTGTCATTTAAGTTTATCATGCCCGAAACGCTTTGCGTAATAGTGGCTTTAGGCATTGTATGTACTAGCTCTACCTATAAGTCAACCAATCTTTGTAAAAATTTATCGTATGTATGTACCTTACCTAAATAAACATTTTATTTTATTTTATTTTTATTTTTATTTTATTTTAACGTGGCTAAAGTATGTTGACCAGACCACACACACTAGAAGGTGAAGGGACGACGCCGTTTCGGTCCGTCTTGGACCATTCTCAAGTCATTTGACAATGGTCCAGGACGGACCGAAACGTCGTCGTCCCTTCACCTTCTAGTGTGTGGTCTGGTCATAGTACTATGATAGAGAAGCAAGTTAAAAAATATTTTAATTGTCAAGAGATTTAGCAAATGATTACAGTACTATGTACTATTACTGTACAGATTAAACACATTTAAATTATATTTTATAAACCGTTAGTGCCTGTGTATGACTGTATTATGTAACCAATAATACATATGAAAATTCGAGCCATTGTATGTTAATAAGCAAGATATATCATTATAAAACTCATGTGCATTCCTTTCTTCTTCAGCGTCCAGCACATCAGGACGAGGAGGACCTCGACCATACCCCCCTGCGCGATGCCGTCGAGTCGGTGCCCCTCGAAGCCCAGGAATACATTTTCAGGGTGGCGGAGGAGGAGGACGAGGTGCCATTCTCTCGAAGCAACGTCGAGTCGTATCCCCACTTCCAGACCCCGTACTCTGGAGGCGTTAGAGATGATGTGAGTCCTCCTCCACGGCCTCCTTCAAGGGATGGCCTTTTTTCTTATCATTGAATGCGGGTTTTAATATACAATGTAGATCTTGGATGAGATTTATTTTCACGTTTTTGTAATCGTAAATATTTTGTCATGCTAGTTAATTTTTGAGTGTCATGCTTTTGTTTGTTTGGATAAGTTATTAATTATTTTTTTTCCGGTGATATGTATGTGTGCTTTTGGGGTAAGATGGTACAGCTTCTTGAAGCTGTTATTACTGCTTGAGTTGCTGTGTACCTCCCTCGCCGTCTTGCTGAATCCCAACTCCTTTCTTGTCCCTTTATGCTCCTGTACTGCCTTCTTCTTGTTCCCTTTCCTTCCCTCCTCCTTCCCTTCCTCACTGTTCACGCACAGTACAATACAAGTATCACCCGCAGGAAATACAAGCGGTTGTCATAGAGGTGTCTGACGGCGGGATCTACGAGGACGACGAAAAGTTCGGTTGGGTGGGGATCCGGGACTCCGTTGAGTCCCCGCCCTTGCGTACGCCCATCCAGGACCCGGAGGAGGCCAGCCCCCTCCCTGTACAGGTCAGTTCCCCCCTCCCTGTACAGGTCAGTTCCCCCTCCCTGTACAGGTCAGTTCCCCCCTCCCTGTACAGGTCAGTTCCCCCTCCCTGTACAGGACAGTTCCCCCTCCCTGTACAGGACAGTTCCCCCTCCCTGTACAGGTCAGTTCCCCCCTCCCTGTACAGGTCAGCCCCCCCTCCCTGTACAGGTCAGTCCCCCCTCCCTGTACAGGTCAATCCCCTCCCTTGCAGTGCATGTCAGAGCAGACCATTGTTGTAGTCTTGCAGGTCAGTGCAGGCCATGACTGTGGTCTTGTAGGTCAGTGCAGACCATGGATGTGCCCTTGCAGGTCAGTGTGAACAGGGGATTGTCTGGGGGTGTGAACAGGAGATTATCTTAGATTGTAAATGGGAGATTGTGGAATGAACAGAAGATTGTGTGAGCTTACACCAATACTCTCTTCAACAGCTTAACAGTCGACCATATGGGATTTGGTCTGAGCAGCTGTTGGGCTTGAGTAAAGTTGCATTTGGCCCAGAGTTCGACGACGACAACATCCTCTCACACTCGGATGCCTCCTTGGGATATAAAGCTGGCGGAGAGTTGGCCAACTACAAGGCCACCATCAGGAGCCAGAGTGGAGGTCAGTATAACACTGTTACCCCTGAAAAAAATCTTCAGAGCCTGATAGCGTGATCGAAACTAGCATCCCTGCAGAGTCGATCATGCCGTCCTGCTCTGAAGGGATGCTCTCATTTTATCGTTGATATGTCACTTTATTGTGATTTCATTATGTACTGTTATCTTGCCTTGTAATAGTGATTATTTATAGTTTTTGTTAGAATATCTATGTGCCCCCTGTGTCTGTCTTTTTGTCTTTTCCTCCCTTTTTCCCTCTACCCTTTCCTGCTTCCCCCTCGACCCTTCCCTCCTTCCCCTAGCCCCTTTCCTCCTTTCCCTAGACCCTTCCCTCCTTCCCCTGGCCCCTTTCCACTTTCCCTCTAGACTCTTCCCTCCTTCCCCGTAGACTCTTCTCTCCTTTCCCCTAGACTCTTCTCTCCTTTCCCCTAGACTCTTCTCTCCTTCCCCCTAGACTCTTCTCTCCTTCCCCCTAGACTCTTCTCTCCTTCCCCCTAGACCCTTTCCTCCTTCCCCTAGACCCTTCCCTCCTTCCCTTCGACTCTTCCCTCCTTCCCCTCGACCCTTCCCTCCTTCCCCTAGACCCTTCCCTCCTTCCCCTAGACCCTTCCCTCCTTCCCCTAGACCCTTCCCTCAACCCTTCCCCATCACGCTCTTGTTCTATGAGTATTTCAAACCCTATATAATATTTTAGAGCAATTAAATATTATTACTTGAATCTACTTATATCTCTACTTGCCTCGATGGGAACAAGAAGCCGACGGCTTGTCAAAGGCTCCCCTCATTCTTCCTGAGGATTTTTTCTAAATGGGTTTTGAACAGAAGTAATGCCTTGGCATTTACATCTTTGGTGGGTATTATTATTATTATTATTATTATTATTATTATTATTATTATTATTATTATTATTATTATTATTATTATTCCACCGACAGACTACAAGCTGATATGTTACTTTGGAGGATGGTCAGTGTACAGGCCCGAGCCCTTTGACTTCTCCGTGTCGGACATCGACCCCTTCTCTTGCACCCACGTCATCTATTCCTTCGCAGGTCTCAAGAAGAATGAACACACCATCATTTCTCTTGATGAGAAGCTCGACGTTATCCAAGGTAGGCTAAGCCTTGGAATAAGTCCTTTTCAGGTAATCCTAGGGCCAACGAATCTTTTTTTGTATTAATTGGAAAGTGCCCATGTATAAAGTTAAGCTCAATGCCTATCTAAAGTTAAGCTCAGTGACCATCTGAAGTTAAGCTCCAGCAATGTCCATCAATATGAAATGAGGCTCAGTGCCTACCTATATGAAAGGAGCGTCTTCCCTCAAAATTAGCAGTTATACTCTATTTCATCATACTTTCATTTTTCTTTCTATTCTGTAATGTTACCAAATTTTGGGTTGCTAAGTTTGAAAGCTCGTAAACAGTTTCTTAAAAATAGGCTAAGCTGCCATGATCGAGGAAAGATGTACACGTTTCATAAATAGACACGTAAATGCTTGAGAAACCCTTCCCCTGACAAGGCGAGGTTTCCACATTATGTGGACATACTCATATAGTTTTAATGATGATAATTATTAAGGGAACCTCTTAAAATATCTGTGGATTTAGCTTACCACATTAGAGTAAGGCATTGATATTAATTTACATTTAGTAGCATTTAAGTCTTGCATGAGTCTTTACTTTGCAAATATTCATCCCACAATAGCTTTCTCCCATTCCTTCTCTGTCCATGACCCTGTCCATAGAGGACAGAAGAAAATGTATATATGCTGGTTAGCATTGTAAATATGTGGCCACGTCTGTGGTAGAAAATAATAATAATAATAAAAAAATTCCTTTGTCACCTGTTCCATGTCTCTCACTTGTTCCTGCTCTCTCACCTGTTCCATGTCTCTCACCTGTTCATTGTGTCTTCCCTTCCCCACCTCATACCTTCCAAGTGATCTATAGTCATTACTGGCATACCAGACTCTCCTGATAAATTACCTTACCTACTCTTCCCCATAAGGATCATACAAGGCTGCAGTAGGCTTGAAAGAACAAAATCCGGCCCTTAAGGTGATGATCGCCATCGGCGGCTGGAATGAAGGAGGCAAGAAGTACTCAAGAATGGCTAGTAGCAAGTCAAACAGGGAGAAATTCATAAAGTCGGTCATCGCCTTCATCAAGGAACACGGTTTTGATGGTCTCGATCTCGACTGGGAGTACCCAGGTGAGGCATCGTGGTCTTGGACTGAGTTACCTTTAAGTTAGTTTGGGCCCTATGAGGCTAAATTATATTGAGAATAGGTTGGGTTGAGCTAATGTAGATTGGATTAATGTTAATGACATCCAAGGGTAATCAAGTGTAATTAGTAAGATCAGATTTGCATGGGCCATGTGAGTGGGACCAGGTACAGTAAGGTTAGCTAAGGCTGAGTTAAATAGATTTGATTGTGTGTGATAATGTAGGAGCATCTCAGTCAAATGTAACATTAAACTAGAATAAAAAATACAGTACTAAATATGAATGTACTGTAATTACAAGTAATAGCAGAATACTTTACAATCTACATTGTACCTTAAATACAGACTGATTATTGCATCTTTCTTTAAAAATGGTTATACAGTATAGTAAACATTACTATTTTGCAATTAAAAGAAAGTTTTGGAACAGCAATTAATAAACCATTACCAAGTTATGATTTATAACAACATAGTTGTCTTTAGATCAAATTAATGAATGTGTATGACATTCCAAAGCACAGACTTTTGAGAGGGGTACCCTCTCTAGTATTATGGATTATCTTTCTAACTTTATGTAATGATGCACAGGTGCCAGTGATCGGGGTGGGTCCTGGTCAGACAACAAGAACTTCGCTGACCTCGTTGACGAGCTGGCAGTTGCCTTCAAGCCCTATGGCTGGCTTCTTTCTGCTGCCGTCTCCCCAGCCAGGTATTTAAGTGCCGTATGCTAAAATACGTGCTATCCATCCTGCATTTCCTCTGTCAGGTATACCCCCTGTGTACCTGTTGATACTTCTCAAATTTTATTTTAATGTACCTTTTAATCTTTGTCAAATTTTCTTACACTGTACCTGCTAACATTTTTTAAATTTTGCTAGAAATTACCTACTTAAAATTATTTGTTAGATTAAGCACCTATCCAAAACACTATGCGTGTTAGTGGCTTTACAAGAATGTAAAAACATCAATGCTATGTTCTCTCATAAACCCAATGTATCTCTTGTCATATAATGCTTTGAAACTATACTTAAGGTTTTGGCCTCCACCACCTTCTCATTTAGTTTGTTAAACCATCTCTCTTGCCGGGTTTCCCATACTCTACAGTTGGCTTGCTAGTTTACTTGCATTAGTATCCAGTGCACACTGATCAAATTTGACTTTAATCAGTATTTTGCTTAACACTGTGTTAAAGTTGACATCCTAAGTTATTTGTTTTTTATTTATATATATATAAATATGTATATATACAAGAAGGTACATTGGGTTTATGAGAGAACATAGCATTGATGTTTTTACATTCTTGTAAAGCCACTAACACGCATAGTGTTTTGGATAGGTCTTAATCTAACAAATAATTTTAAGTAGGTAATTTCTAGCAAAATTGAAAAAATGTTAGCAGGTACAGTGTAAGAAAATTTGACAAAGATTAAAAGGTACATTAAAATAAAATTTGAGAAGTATCAACAGGTACATTGTAGCCTAATTTGAGGATCATTTCAAGGTATAATGCAGTAAAATATGCATTCAATATAACAACCATGATAAGATATTAGATGATTAGCAGTCTCCGTGGTGTATAAGACTCGCCTGGCGTTAGCGCTAATCGGTAGCCTCTGTTTATCGCAACAGTAAAATGTGTACTTGGATGAAAAAAACTATTCTTCGCGGCAGGGGATCGTCCAGGGACCTGGCTACTTATGGCTTAGGTACATATATTGGGGGATTGGGTAGCACAAGATACAGTGCAAGTTTAAAGCACTAGGTAGGAAACTATGAAGATGAAATTAGGTTCATTTTGGTTTTATTTTTGAATAAGGCAAAAGTTGGACAACTTTTCAATTCGTTAGGGAGTAAGTTCCATAGACTAGGTCCCTTTATTTGCATAGTGTTTACACAGATTATATGACTGTTATGACATTATATGATATGTTATATGATATTCCTACAAAGTTACAGTTCCTGCATATTTACTCTACACCATTAAGTTAATGAACAATTTATCAATTATTTACATCTATTATGATTTTTATTTTGACTATGGTGGAAAGACAATCCTTTCTGTATAAAATTCTCCTCCTTGGCATCTCCTTCCATGTGTGTGTGTGTTTCTCTCTCCCTTTCTAACCATCGTGAAAGCAAATGTCAACTCTTGCAATGTGGGTTTGTAATATTTAGGAGGCAAAATCACCTAGACTAACTCCTTGCCTTGCCAGGTTCCGTGTTAATGAGGGCTACGATGTTGCGCGCATCTCCAAGAGTCTGGACTTTATCAACATCATGACTTATGACATGAGGGGCCCTTGGGATGGCAAGGCAGACCACCATGCTCCCATCAGCACCCGCCCCTCAGACACCTGGTCCTTCAAGAACCTCAACACAAAGGATGGAATGGCCTACTGGGCCCTGAAGGGTGCGCCAAAGGAAAAGCTGGTGATGGGCATTCCCTTTTACGGGAGGTCGTTCACTCTGGCTGACCCCAACCAGAATACGCCTGGAGCCAGGGTGAGAATGGTGTTTTGTTTGTAGTGCAGTATAATTACCTAAGTGTACTGTAGTTACAGGATGAGAGCTATGCTCGTGGTGTCTCGTCTTCCCAGCACTCTTTGCCATATAACGCTTTGAAACTATACTGATGGTTTTGGCCTCCACCACCTTCTCATTTAGTTTGTTTAAATCATCTACCACTCTGTTTGCAAAACAAAATTGTCAATTTTTTTTTGGCACCTCTGTTTTCTTAGCTTGAATCTGTAATTACACTTACCTAAGTGTAGTTACAGGATGAGAGCTACACTCGTGGTGTCCCGTCTTCGCAGCACTCTTTGTCATATAACGCTTTGAAACTACTGACGGTCTCGGCCTCCACCACCTTCTCGCCTAACTTGTTCCAACCGTCTACCACTCTGTTTGCAAAAGTGAATTTTCTTATATTTCTTTGACATCTGTGTTTAGTTAGTTTAAATCTATGACCTCTTGTTCTTGAAGTTCCAGGTCTCAGGAAATCTTCCCTATCGATTTTATCAATTCCTGTTACTATTTTGTACATAGTGATCATATCACCTCTTTTTCATCTGTCTTCTAGTTTTGGCATATTTAATACCTCAAACCTCTCCTCGTAGCTGTGTCCTCTTGATCGTGAAGTTCCTGGTTTCAGGAATTTTTCCAGTGTGTGTGAGATTCAGTTCCTCTTAGGTGCAGAGGTGGATTGAAATGGAGTTGGCTAGTGGAGAGTAACTCAGAGATAATTAATGCACAAATAAAGGTGTGAATTCAGAGTTCACACTGACTAAAGTGAGAAGAGCTGAGGAGTGTTAGTGTTACCTTGAGGTGCTTCCGGGGCTTAGCGTCCCCGCGGCCCGGTCGTCGACCAGGCCTCCTGGTTGCCGGGGTGTGGCCATAAAAGGTACACATCAGTCATAGCCTCTGATATGAAGCTATGAAAATGTAGTTGGGGGACATAGGGTGACAGTACATGGTGAAGATGAGAAAGTAAGGTACATTCAAGGGGTGGCTGTGGGCAGTGTTTTGTATGCAGATACAGAAGTGCCATAAATATGTATTCAAGATCTGGTGTTTTTCTTTGATTCTGTATATGACTGTACCAGCCTGTGATGTAGAGATGTAAAATAAAATTGTATTCTCTTGACTTAAATAACTCTTGATCTGTATTCTGCAATCCTTCATATAGAATAAGATTGCATCACATTGCTGTGTACTTAAGCTTATTAATGTTAACAATAAAATGTTGTGTGTGTGTTGCCTGCAGGCACAGTCAAGTGGGAAGGAGGGCCAGTACACCAAGGAGCGGGGTTTCCTCGCCTACTACGAAGTGTGTCAGTTGCAGCAGCAGGGCAGTTGGAACCTGCACAGGGACCCTACTGGAGGACCTTATATGAACATGGGTGACCAGTGGGTCGGCTATGATGACAAAGACTACATCACTAAAAAGGTAACTGAGCATCCACAGTTGAGAATTCTGCAGCCATTTATGGGTGTTGACCGTGATGTGAGTCTGCATCACGAGGACGAAGTGTGTTTGTACTGTAGGTGGAATGAATCGGCAACATGAACATGAGCGATGCATAGTTTAGCAGTGTTGTGAAATTGCGATAATTTTATCCTCAATTCCTTATTGATGATTTTGACATATTTAATTATTTCCTCGGTCAAGTATTTTCTAATCTTACCAACCTCAGCATAGTTTAAATATTGAATTTTAAATAAAACATACAGTTAGAACTTTATGTAAAAAAGTTTCATGTGAGTAAATGATAAAAGGTAGTGCATTGTACTGTACAGTATTCTCATTTCAAAGGCATCATCAGTTTATTTATTGATATTCTTGCATTTAACCACTAAACACATGCACTTTTCAGATGGAACTGATCAAATCTGAAGGTTTTGCTGGTGCCATGGTGTGGGCTATCGACCTAGATGACTACAAGGGTGTGTGTGGTGAGAGGTGGCCCTTGCTCTCGGCCATCCGTCGCAACCTGGGCCTCAAGTCTATTTCTTCTGCCACCATCCCCTTGTTGCCTTTACCCTTTACTACCACCACCACCACCACCACCTCAACCACCACAGAAGTGACAACTCAGCGAACTAGTATGGATATTTATAGTTTCCAGTCCTCCTTTGAGGGGATTCTGTTGCTCACTGCTGGCTTTTACACCTTCGCTGTTTCACTCCCATGCTGGAGGAATGTTTTGTCTCCTGTATATTTTCTTAGGGCTTCTGGGTCATCTATAATATTGTAAATATCCACTAACAACATAATTTGTGATAAGATTTGTTTCAGTTTTACCTATTTTTCTCTCCACCTTGTAATGTTGGGTGTTACACACTGCTATTTATTCTACTCATCATCTCATGAACTCGTGCAATGAACACCTTGTGATGATTTTACAGGTTTCACACACCCAATTTTATTTACCTCCCACTGATGTGTGGTCCGTACACACTTCAGTCTCAATGCTCGCCTCTTAGCCCTTTCCGTAATATTTACTGTGTCTTTACACGTGTGTTTATATGCATAAACTTGTGTCTTGGGTAGATGTTGTGGGGCAGGGGTTCTCCACCTCCATCCCCCCTTCTTATTCATACACCCATTCCCTCCTAAACCACTACACCATGTACTCCCCAGCCCAACCCACATTTCCACAGAGTTCCTTACATCACACACACACACACACACCCCATTCCTGATGCGTCTGTTCATCTCGCAGGAAGTAGATACCTGGGAGTTAGTCAACTGTTGTGGGTTACAATTTACCTCGAGTAAATTCAGATAAAATTGGTTGGAGTTACGATGTGTGGTTGACCAAGGTAGCAAGTATTATACTTACACCAACTGAAGGGAGCACCAGAGCAGTACTGTACTTATACTGAAGCACTAGAACAGCATTGTACTTACACTAGAAGATTGCTAGAGTAGAATTGTACATATACTGAGGGGAATAACAGAGTAGCACTGTGATTATATTTATTTATTTATTTATTTATTTATATATATACAAGAAGGTACATTGGGTTTGTGAGAATACATTGGATAGTACAGTATTTACATTCTTGTAAAGCCACTAGTACGCGCAGCGTTTTGGGCAGGTCCTTAATCTAGCAGATAATTTTAAGTAGGTAATTTCTATCAGAATTGATAAATGATAAAGATACATTGCAAGAGAAAAATGAGATGAGAGAGCTAAGTAAGTATATTAAAGCACATTGTTATATTAAAGCTCTGATTGATTACATTGACAGCTTGATTAGTAATTTAAACAAGATTAATAGACACCATACAGCAGATTGACAGCACATATAAGACAGCAATGATCACAATGGTAAAGATGTTCAGATTGGGTACATACATACTGAGGGGGCATACTGAGGGGAATAGCATTGTACTTACACTGACAATTGATTAATGTACCAGCTGTCATATATGCCATTATGGACATAAAATGTATGTACATTTTATCCCCACCACAGAAGTGATAACTGAGCAAACTAGTATGGATATTTGTAGTTTCAAGTCCTCCTTTTGAGGTATTCTGTATTAGAGGAAAGGAAACGAACTCAATCATATGTGTGCTGCCTGGGAATTGAACCTTGGATCCCTGATTATGATTTGAGAATGAAGCCAACTGGACAAACAACACAAACATCACCACCCCCTATCACAAATGCACTACCATACACACACACACACACACACACACACACACACACACACACACACACACACACACACACACACACACACACACACACACACACACACACACACACGGTGATGGAGAAGATCGTGAGAAAAAACCTGGTAACACATCTGGAGAGAAGGGACTTTGTGACAAATTGCCAACATGGGTTCAGGGAGGGTAAATCTTGCCTTACAGGCTTGATAGAATTCTACGACCAGGTGACACAGATTAAGCAAGAAAGAGAAGGCTGGGTGGACTGCATTTTCTTGGATTGTTGGAAAGCCTTTGACACAGTACTGCATAAGAGGCTGGTACATAAGCTGGACAGGCAGGTGTAGCTGGTAAGGTGTTCCAGTGGATAAGGGAGTACCAGAGCAATAGGAAGCAGAGAGTTACGGTGAGGGGTGAGACCTCAGAGTGGCATGAAGTCACCAGTGGAGTCCCACAGGGCTCTGTACTCGGCCCTATCTTGTTTCTGATATATGTAAATGATCTCCTGGAGGGTATAGATTCATTTCTCTCAATGTTTGCGGACGATGCCAAAATTATGAGAAGGATTAAGACAGAGAAGGACTGCTTGAGGCTTCAAGAAGACCTAGACAAGCTGAAGGAATGGTCAAACAAATGGTTGTTAGTTTAACCCAAGCAAATGTAATGTAATGAAGATAGGTGTAGGGAGCAGGCCAGATACAAGGTACCATCTGGGAGATGAAATACTTCAAGAGTCAGAGAGAGAGAAAAAGACTTGGGGGTTGATATCACGTCAGACCTGTCTCCTGCAGCCCATATCAAGAGGATAACATCAGCGGCATATGCCAGGCTGGCCAACATAAGAACGGCATTCAGAAACTTGTGTAAGGAATCATTCAGAACTTTGTATGCCACATATGTCAGGCCAATCCTGGAGTATGCAGCCCTAGCATGGAGTCCATATCTAGTCAAGGATAAGACCAAACTGGAAAAGGTTCAAAGGTTTGCCACCAGACTAGTACCCGAGCTGAGAGGTATGAGCTACGAGGAGAGACTACGGGAATTAAACCTCACTTCGCTGGAAGACAGAAGAGTTAGGGGGGGACATGATCACCATATTCAAGATTCTGAAGGGAATTGATAGGGTAGATAAAGACAGTCTATTTTATGGGCACACGCACTAGGGGACACAGGTGGAAACTGAGTGCCCAAATGAGCCACAGAGATATTAGAAAGAACTTTTTTAGTGTCAGAGTGGTTGACAAATGGAATGCATTAGGATGTGATGTGGTGGAGGCTGAGTCCACACACAGTTTCAAGTGTAGATATGATAGAGCCCAATAGGCTCAGGGACCTGTACACCTGTTGATTGACGGTTGAGAGGCGGGACCAAAGAGCCAGAGCTCAATCCCCACAAGCACAAATAGGTGAGTACACACACACACACACACACAAGGCATAAGTGGCTCAGAGAACTGAAGGACAAGAGCTATGAGGAGAGGTTAGAGACATTAAATATGCAAAAACTAGAAGATAGAAGAAAAGGAGGCGATATGATCACTACGTACAAAATAGTAACAGGAATCGATAAAATTGATAGGGAAGAATTCCTGAGACCTGGAACTTCAAGAATAAGAGGTCATAGATTCACACTAACAAAGCAAAGCTGCCAGAGAAATATAAGAAAATTCACTTTTGTAAACAGAGTGGTAGACGGTTGGAACAAGTTAGATGAGAAGGTGGTGGAGGCCAAAACCGTCAGTAGTTTCAAAGCGTTATGACAAAGAGTGCTGGGAAGATGGGACCCCACGAGTGTAGCTCTCAGCCTGTTACTACACTTAGGTACTGTAATTTCACTTAGGTAATTACATGGATCCCCCCCTCCTCTCCGACACATGTACACCAACACACACATATCAGTAATCTGGAACAGCTTCAAATTCACGCTACTAAAGGGCTCCTGGAACTTAAACATGAGCTACAAGGAAAGGTTGGAGGCATTAATCATATTAAGGCTAGAAGATAGGAGGAAAAGAGGCATTGTTATGAAGACCTATAAAATAGTAACAGGTATTGACAAAATAGACAAAGAGAAATTTTTTAAAACCTGCAACTTCATGAAGAAGAGGTCATAGATTCAAGCTAAGGAAACAACGGTGCCAAAAAAAATATAAGAAAGTTCTCTTTTGCAGAGTGGTAGAAGGTTGGAACAAGTGAAGTGAGAAGGTTATGGATGTCAAAACCATCTGTATTTTCAATGCTTCATATGACAAAGAATATTGGGCAGATGACACCATGAGCATTGTCATTCTATGACTTCACTTAAGTAATTACATTCATACACATGTACATGTATTCCCAGCTCACAACCAAGGATTTCAGGTTCTATCCTAGCATTAAGACAGCAGCATTTTGACAATGTTTCTTTCATATGATGCATCTGTTCACTTAACAGTAAATATATACTGTACCTGGTAGTTACAGCTATTGTGGGTTGCTTCATGGGGATGATCTGTAGTTGACCAGATAGATATGTTAGAAAAAATAGGTCAGGAATCATTGCAATAGACAATCAGTAGCTAGAAAGGTGGGGTCAAAGAGCTAAAAGCTCAATCCTGCACACACAAATAGGCGAATACACACACACACACACATGCATGTTCTCGCTCCCTCCCCAACCCACAAGTTTCTCTTGGCTGGGTGTGGACCATGGAAGGTGGCAGGCCTTAACCTGCAGTCACCTCCATCAGCAGCTACAAAAGCCATTACCTCCACAACCATAGCCACTTCGGCCCCCATCGCGACCACCATAACCGCCGGCACTGACACCGACGACGGAGCCACATCTGCACCTTCCTCCATGACCCCCACAGAGGCTACACCTGCACCTACCTTCCAATGTCCAGGTAAGAATATGGAAATTAAGAACCTAAGAATTAGGAATATAAGAATGAAGAGTGTGAGAAAATATAAGAGTTAAGAACACAAGAATTAGGGGGCATTGCAGCAGGCTTGTTTGTTTCTATACTAGGGCAAGTCATCCATATGCCTATCCAATCTATTTTTGAAGCTGTTTAAAGTATTTGTCTAAATTATGCTAGCTGGTACCTCATTCTTCTCATCCATAATGCTTTTCCCAAACTAATACTTCTCTGTATCCCTCATAAAGGGATAATTAAACATTCTTAAATTTTAAATTTGCCCTGAAAGATGAGTTTGTTAGGCAACATTACTTGTCCTCTGAGTGCACATACCTTACCACCATCGCAATACTGTATGTACAACACTACTCAACTCTTACAACCAAAATTTAATTTAAGAAATTCAATTACAGTTTATTTATTGATATTTATTGATATTTATTGACATTTATTAATTTATTTATTGAAGTACTGTATTCATAACAGCTTATGAATACTGTTATGAAGGTTTTGTAATTTAAACGTGTTTGTATCTTTCAATTTTGTATGTGGTAAATATTTTGAGATATTAATATGAGATCGAGACTGACTGACCTCCACTGGATGCCACTTCTAGTAGACTTTATTTAATTTGTTATTGCCTACCTGCAGGCTCTGGCTTCTTCCGCATTGAGGACAACTGCTCTGTGTATTATGTGTGTGACACGAGTCTGAATGCATACAAGTTCGAGTGTCCATATGGTCTGGTGTTCGACCTCCAACGCAGACTCTGCAACTGGCCCAGACATGTTGAATGTGGCGCTGGGTTCTCTGCCTACAGTAAGTGGGAAAAATCTATTCTTACTCAAAATTTGACAAGTGACAAATTTGAAGTTCTTTTGCTTAATCACAAGTTTAGCAGCCTAAGCAAACCACTTGACCTGTTTATCTGAAGACGTTAATGTTCTGGTGCTTTTAATTTAATTAAAACACCTGAATTTTAGCATTGTAGCTGACAGTCACAATTGTAGTCCATTAAGTATAAGAACAGTTGAGTGGGAAGCAACTCTTTTTCTTGGGACGGCAGATTTATATGTGGAAATATACAAATCTGTAAGTTACCAGTTAGTTAGTTTAGTTCATTTATTATGCACCCCATACCCATCTTGTGGGCGGTAGTGGAAAGGGTTACAGAGGCACATAATGGGCTCAGGGACTGAACCCCACAATTCATTTAGCTAAGCAAGTTACAATCTTGATGAGCTAGTTACAAAATTCAATATAAGTCATCACATCAACAATGGGTTCGAGATCGACCTCAAGTACAGGTTCTAAATTAAGCAACTGACATATGTGGAGAGCTAGTGTCAAAATTTATATGTTTGTCCTGCACACCGCCCCCCATAAGTTACCACATTTCACAAATGTCAATGTTGAAGAGCAGGTAGGGGATTGGGACAAATGTATCAGGGATTGATTTGATTATAATTAACTTTATATTTCAGATTTTCCTTTCATTAAAAAAGATATACTGTACAGAAAAAGAACATAATACAGTGGTTATTTGTTGCATAAAGATGCATATTTAATTAAATAAAGCCACTAATTTGCAAAACATTTCACTCATAACTTAAGATAATTGAGATAAATAATTGATAGGTTTAATGGGATAAGCACTTAAAAGCTTTAAATTGCCACCCACACACTTCCATGGAAATAAACATTCCATTCACCTAGACTGTATGGGTCTCGAACCGTGGACCCCACATTTGTGAGACCGTAGCTCTGTCAACTTGGCTATTAACTTTCGTTTTTAAAACTGCTCATAGCCGAGTTGATAGAGCAACGGCCTCGCACGCGTGTGGGGGGTCCACGGTCCAAGATCCACACAGTCCAGATAAATGGAACACTTATTGCTAATCAAGATGCAAGCTAACATACATGACTTGTTCTAGTAATTTAGCAAATGAGAGAAAATATTTAGGTGACAATGATGAAAGATATAGGTATAGATTTTTAGTATGTCAAATTTACAATAACAGCAAAACACACAAATGTCATATTTTTGGATGAGGAAACGTGAGTGAAATTTGTTACGTGAATTTGATTACATGCAGACGAGAGAGTTACGATAACGTGGCTGAAAAATGTTGACCAAACCACTCACTAGAAATTGAAGACGACGTTTCAGTCTGTCCTGGACCATTATCAAATTGATTATGACAATCGACTTGATAATAGTCCAGGATGGACCGAAATGTCAGTCTCTTCAATTTCTAGTGTGTGGTTTGGTCAACAAGTTAATTACATATTTCATAGTTTCCCTTTTAAACTGGTGTTTAGAAGATTATAGCAAGTAGGTAAGTGTTTAATAAAAATTACAGTACATAATGCAGCCTCCTGACATCATCAGATTGGTCAGTGTGCGTGGAGGATGGACTGTACAGTGACCCGACTGACTGCCATAGGTTTACGTTGTGTAGCTCTGGAGTGGCCTCCAGATACTCCTGCCAGGATGGAACGTTCTTCAACCCCAAAACCGGTAAATTCTTGAACCCCCATCATATTTACTTCATCTTTAACCACTGCACTGTGCATAACTCCTTAAGGCACTTGACCAGTGGTGTGCATAGTGCCTCAAGGCACTCTTAGGTATATCAAAAGATTTAAAAATTACCACATATACACATGGCTCACCTTTGCTTCCTCAAGCCTCCAGTAACTATCCACCATCTTGAGAGAAAATCCTGAATCCCTCACTTTCCTTCTAGATTAAAAGATGAGGACTATGTCTGGCACACCAGCACCCAGTGTCTGGGTGTGCAAGGCAGTCATACTAGGAGCCATTGAACTTTTAACAACACCGAATGAGTGATTACCATATATATATTTACACACAAGATGTGTGCTGTGTGCAATTATGATTAGGCTAACATATATTAGTAATATATATATTACATATATTAGTATATAAATACATGGTGTGTGTGTATATTTATATACATACAGTATCTTTATATACATATGCAGTTTTTTCAAAGTTGTACATAATGAACACCACCTTTCACACATCAATACAACTTGTTAGAACAAAAAACTAAATAAATAAAGTGTAGGATGTCTCTAAAATTCCAGCACTTGGCTATTGCAGAAAATATAATAAGAATCATATGCAGTATATACTCACTGGCACACACGACCCCACTAAAAGGCAGTATGGAAACACCAAATCACACTCGTAACGCTTTGCAACCTGTCAGTTTGCAGCTCAATTATAATGGAAGATTCTTGGTACATTCTACATTATGAGCAACAAGAATATAGGATCCTTCTCAATGCTCCTCCATATAGAGGACCTTCCCCAAGCTAATAACATTGGTGTTTTCCTTTACTACAGGTATTTGCAGTGAGTCACAGGAGACATTTTGCCAACATGGGCAGAGTGTGAAGGTGGGAGATGAGCAGCTGTCCCCAGCTGAGACAGCAGCCCGTCTGAAGATGGCCTCTCCAAGTGAGTGTCAAATTATCACTATATGCCTGCCCTTTATATTTGCTTCCTAATGTGAGGGATGATTATTATTATCTTCTGGTGTGTAGTTTGGTCATCATGATTATTATTGGTATAATAATAACTATAAGTCGATACGCCACAATCAACTTGATTGTGCGTCCAGGACGGACCAAAACGTTGTCATCTCCTCATTTTCTGGTGTGTGTAGTTTAGTCTTCATTAGTGATATAGTTTGGCCAGAGGAAGAAAATGAATCCATTCTGGTTTTGTTTATTAGTCAAAAAGCCATTCTGACCCGTATAAACCCCAGGTATAAGCATAAGGAAAAATATGAAGTAAATACAAATAAATAGAATCAATGTCATAATATGAACCTAAAATATAAGTAGAATAATAAGAACATAAGAACAAAGGTAACTGCAGAAGGCCTATTGGCCCATTCAAGGCCTATTACAGAAGGCCTATTGGCCCATAATAATACTAAATATTACACATCACACTCAGTCCTAACAATTATGGAATATGATACCTGGTTGATATTTGAAGTGATATTTATTTTTACCTTGTTGCAAATATTATTTTCCTAATACTGCTAGAATGATAGACATGTAGAAGCTACAATTTTTATCTATTTTTGTATAAAATACTGTGCTTTAATGGCTTTAGTAACTAGTTTGGGCAACTAGTTTCACTTTGGCATATGACATAGGTTGCCAAATAAATGCATAGCTTAGTCTAGTATCAAGTCTGGCAGGTGATTTCTGGTTCTCCCACGATGACCTTACAAAACATCTTTCCATTACAGGTGACTACAAGGTTGTGTGTTACTTCACAAGCTGGTCCTATCACCGTGCCGACCCTTATAAGTATGCTCCTGAGTACGTTGACCCTACTCTCTGCACCCATCTCATCTACGCGTATTCCATGCTTGACCCAACTGATCTGGTTATGCGGGCACTCGACCCTTTCCTCGACTTCGACTACAGTTAGTGTCTAGATTTACGTTTTGAGTGTGTATTTCAATATTTATTTTTGTGTGTATGGATCTCGATGAGCTCTACAGGTGCATGGATCTACCTCATCTCTAAAATTTAAGTTATACTCTAAACCACAACAAAGTTAAAGAATAAAGTAAACTTTTTGTAAATACATACATAGAGAATTACATCTTCATTGTATATGCTCTGTGGCTTTATTTTTATTTGAAAGCAAAATCAATTAAGAATGTTTTGGGAAGTTGTGATTTGCAATTTTGAGCACAATTTTTAGTCCAATTAAAAGTAAAATTATTTGACCTGTACAAGTACTGTACTTGAATACGTAGCTGTAAGCTGTCTCATGCGGAGCATTGTAATAGTTTTACTTCCAGGTTAAACCAAATTTTTTATTTTCTAGTTTTATAGCACTAAGACTGACAGAATCGAGTTTTTCTTAATCTGCTTTACTCTCCTCATTTATCTGTGCTCAACTATTTTAGTGGTACAAGTCAAATCACATTTGTTTGTGTTTTTAACATAACACAGTTTCGGTACTTTAAAGTTACATTCATGGTAGAATAGGATGAAGTGTAGGCCTAGTAGTAACACTTTATGTATGAGTAACACTTGATATATCTCATTCGAATTAATTGTTTATTTCAGGTTTCTACCAGAGGATTTTGTCACTGAGGCAGAAGGCTCCAGGCCTGAAGGTGATGCTAGGTTTAGGAGGCTGGGTCGACTCTATCAGCGATAAGTACTCCCGGATGGTGAACGACCCCAAGGCTGCCACCAAGTGAGTCCTCTTCCTGTCTCTTGCATAGTGTTATAGGATGAGACGGATACAAAAGTATTAACTATTATTACCATATGTAGTATATTCTTGTCTTTCTTGATACAGTATTGTTCAAGACATTAAATCTGACAACTTCAGTGGGCAATGTCCTTGACTCACAACTGAGGGACCCGGGTTTGATTCCTGAGTGGGACAGAAAGGGTTGGGCACATTTTCATTCACCCAATACCTGTGTTCACCTAGCAGTAAATAGGTACCCGAGAGTTAGGCAACTGTTGTGGGCTGGGTCCTGGGGAAGGTCAGTAGTTGACAAAAGGGGGGTTCAAGACAAGCCTAACTACAGGATTCCTGTTCTCGACATCAGGAATTAGTACATGCACAAATCCAAAACTAATACAAGAACACTCTGATGACTGCAGGTTTGTGCAACACACTACAGACGTGTTAAGGATTTATGGGTTCGACGGTCTGGACTTCGGCTGGATGTTTCCCCGATGTTGGCAGATGGATTGTTCTAAGGGTCCACAGACGGATGTCTCCTCCTTCACCAACCTAATAAAGGTGTGTATTATTGTAAGATGTTCTTAGAATGGTTTAATTGCATATTGAACAATTTAATATTTAATAAACCTTCTTACAAAAGTACAATATTGGCTTCATTTTCGACTTACAATTGGGAATCCCAGGTTCGATTCTTGGGCAGGTCATAAATGGTTGGATGCATTTTCTTTCATCTGATATCTCTGTTCACCTAGCAATAAATAGGTACCCTGGTTAGGCAATTGTTGTCTGGGTGCATCCTGAAAAGCCTAAAATATATATAAATATACACAAGCATCCTGTCCGACAAAACAAATTACTGTACTATAATTTGACTTGAGTTGGACAACACTTATGTGTGATAATATAAATAGGCGAATGTTTGTTGTTGGTTCGGAGATATAAATACAAATACAAATATAAATATTTATTCAGATAAAGTACATACATACAAGGTGAGATACAAAACATTGATGGATTTATAGATGGAGCTAGTACATACAATGCCTAAAGCCACTATTACGCAAAGCATTTTGGGCAGGAAATAATTCTTTAACATAGCCTTGGTGAACCCATAGTTTGGTCTCGAGTGTGAGAAAAGTGACATTTCACTATCATACCCATCACCCACACCAACCCCACTTATCTCCCCCACCAACTCCCCCCATCTTCAACCCTACTGAACACCCCCCTTTCCCCCAACCAAACCTGGCGTCAGGACTAGAGATAACTCCCTCAATTGGCTGGGATCAAAACGTATGTAGCTATCATTGAGATTAAAGGAAATCATGATATATAGAGGTAGATGTTGAACAATTTTAACATTACATTTAAATATCTGGTTGTAAACTTGGGTATTTCTTAAGCCCTATTGGAATCATGGGTTACTCCACCAGCAAGCTCTGCTGATAAGTCACTGTAACTGAATTAAATAATCTATTGATCACAGTGCAAGAAAAATTTCAACAGCTTTCTTTTCAGAGTTTTAAAGTTACTTATAAATTCACAACTTCATTAAGGATTATATATGCGGTAAATATTGTTATTCGTGAGAGGTGTGTGTGTGTGTACTTCATCTGCCTTTATTTCTTCATTTTGCTCTTCTATCATAACAAACATCTGGCTCTATCATGCTACCTGATACAGCCAAGAACCACAGATGGATTTCTACTCATTTGTAATTCATCCTCAGGAGCTGAAGACTGCCTTCAGTGCCCAATCGCCCCCGCTGCTGCTGTCGGCAGCTGTCTCTCCAGCTCGTAATACCATCGACCGCTCTTATGAAGTGGTGAAACTCTCAAAATATTTGGACTTCCTTAATGTTATGACCTATGACTACCATGGTGCCTGGGAAAAGAAAACAGGCCATGTCTCTCCCCTCCACTTCAGGAGCGGTGATCTGTAAGTTTTGGGCTGTTGTACAGTGAGAATTGCTATATTAAGCTGGTCCATACCTTAATATGCTGTATTACCTTTGTTATATTGAATTCTTCTTACTTTTGCCCACCCTGAACAATGAGCTTGCACACAAATACACACACACAGACAGTCTTGGATGCAAACCACTCTCATTCATATATATTTCCACCTTTCATGGGACCTTGTCTTCCAGGTATGAGAGCCAGAACACAGCTTACTCCCTCAAGCATTGGGTAGACAGGGGCGCGGATCCCAGGAAACTGGTGATGGGCATCCCGTTCTACGGGCAGACCTTCACGTTGACCAACCCCTCACAAAATGGCCTTAATGCCCCTGTCAGAACCGGGGGAGAGCCTGGTGCCATCACAATGCAGAAGGGCATGCTGGCCTACTTTGAAATTTGTCAAGCTGGTGAGTTAGAACCTTCTGCAAAAATTGCCGTTCAGAAATCTTTCATTGCAGAATTTTTAATTGAGGAAACTTTCATTGCAGAATTTTCAGTTGAGAAATTTCCCTTTGTAATATTTGTCATGAAAAAATCTTCATATATATATAATATATATATATAATATATATATATAATATATATAATATATATAATATATATAATATATATAATATATATAATATATATAATATATATATATATATATGTCGTACCTAGTAGCCAGAACTCACTTCTCAGCCTACTATTCAAGGCCCGATTTGCCTAATAAGCCAAGTTTTCCTGAATTAATATATTTACTATAATTTTTTTTTTTATGAAATGATAAAGCAACCCTTTTCTCTATGTATGAGGTCAATTTTTTTTTATTGGAGTTAAAATTAACGTAGATATATGACCGAACCTAACCAACCCTACCTAACCTAACCTAACCTATATTTATAGGTAAGGTTAGGTTAGGTAGCCAAAAAAAGCTAGGTTAGGTTAGGTTAGGTAGGATAGGTAGACGAAAAAACATTAATTCATGAAAACTTGGCTTATTAGGCAAATCGGGCCTTGAATAGTAGGCTGAGAAGTGCGTTCTGGCTATTAGGTACGACATATATATATATATATATATAATATAAATATATAAAGCCATTATAAACACAGAGTTGTCATTAAAACACAAAAACAAGATTGAAAGCTCTGAACATTTGTATAAACATCCCAATTTATTTGTGGCAGTACGCACACCTGGCTGGACCAAAGTGGTGGACGCAACGGGTGCTATTGGGCCGTATGCCCACAAGGGGAACCAGTGGTATAGCTACGATGACCCCACCTCCGTCGCTACCAAGGCCACCTTCATCAGAGAGGCTGGTTATGGCGGTGCCATGGTGTGGGATCTGAGCTTTGATGATCTTCACAATGACTGCTGCAGGGAGTCCATGCCTCTCCTACGGGCCATCAATCGGGTGTTGAGAAGCGTGCCGTACCCACCACCCAGGCCAGGGGGAAACTGTGCCAAGATTTCTCCAGGAGCTACCCCACCCACCCCCATCAGGACTACAACGTATGCCTCAGGTACGTTTTGTCTCCTACACGTATCTTTGTTTAAAATGTGTGTTTGAGTCACCGCTGGAATTCTTATAACAGGATCACATGCTGTGCACACTACTACAAGGATATCATTACCTCCACAAATTGTACATGATAGGACATAATACAGTATTACCTTCGGTTACAAAATATACTGTACCTGTAATAAATATACAGTACTAACTTTATCATCAGCTTTAAATGTTTAATCATGAAACATAAACATTTTTATCACGAAACCAACAAAGTCTCTATGAAATCAATATTTTGTTAACAATTATTCAATACAAATAAGCATATTTTATTATGAAACACAAAGTTACCAAAAACTAATGAGACCTATCACTTAATAAGTTAATTCCATCACTGAACTTTAAATATTTAACATAGCAACATTTTTACTTAGCAAACACATTCAATCACGGAAAGAACTCATGAACTAACATTTCTTTAAACCAATAAATGACAAAAATTAACAAAAATTATTTGGTTAAACCAAGAAATGATCTAAAGAAGATCTTCAGAAACTGGAAACTTACATTTTTAATAAATTAATATCATAAACCAGCAAGAAAGAACTAATATCACAAACCAGTAGACAAAACCTATCAACATGAACCAGTAAATGAAAACTAATATCACGAACCAGTAGACAAGAACTAATGTTAGACAAGAACTAATGTCATGAACCAGCAAACAAAAACTAATATCACGAACCAGTAGACAAGAACTAATGTTAGACAAGAACTAATGTCATGAACCAGCAAACAAAAACTAATATCACGAACCAGTAGACAAGAACTAATGTTAGACAAGAACTAATGTCATGAACCAGCAAACAAAAACTAATATCACGAACCAGTAGACAAGAACTAATGTTAGACAAGAACTAATGTCATGAACCAGCAAACAAAAACTAATATCACAAACCAGTAGACAAGGACTAATACCATCACAAACCAATAAACAAGAGCTAATAAATTGTAAGACAAAATATAACACAATGAAAACTGACAAATTAAATAAATTAAAATGCATATTTTTAAGAATTCAACAGATTAAAAAACTATATTAATTTGCACTGTCTAGCTAATTGCTACTCATAACTTTACGAGTACAAAACATGTACAGTACTTGACATGAAAAAATACAAATTATGGAATATGGCTTCTTTTATAAAAAGTTCTCATCATTGTTTATATCCATTAAATTAATGGCAAGACTATTGTTAACAATGAATGGCGATTGAATACTAAACTTGTAATAAATAAATATATAAATAGACAATCTCTTATCGAGCTATATTTTAACATCAACCGGTTCTTTATTTCAAAAGTAACCGAAATTTCACGTAAAATATTAACCGTTTGTGTTAATCCTGTTAGTAAAGATGCATAACAGAATTCTTGCATATTTTCCCCCCCGCAACATGTGTGTGTGTGAATCTTGCTGGTTGCTGAACCTTCATATCGACAGACAGTAAGTTGGTGATCATTGTAGCCTCGGGAGGTGGTGTTAACATTACGCAATTGGATACAACTAAACTAATGCTTTGTGTTGTCGGTCAGCTGGTGGTGTCTGGAGTTTAGTCTTAACATATGTTTGATGGGTGGTAATTGTGCATTGAGTGAGAGGTGGTATCCTGGTGATGAATGACTAAAATACTGTACTCAGTACTAGTAATTCTAAGATTTATAACTGTGTGTAATTTCTTTGTAAATCTGGACACTGACCAAAGTGTAAAGGTGAGTATATGAGACAGAATGCATTTTAACCAACAGTATGGGACAGGATGGGTGTATGCATCATTAGAGAACAGGATGGGTGTAAGCAATGGTTATGGAACAGGATGGGTGTAGGCATCAGTATGGGATATAGGACAGGTGTTAGGCATCAGTATAGAACAGGACAGGTGTTAAGTATCAATATGGGACAGGATAGGCAATAAGTATCAGTATGAGACAGAACAGGTGTTGGCATTGGTATGGAAGAGGATGGGTGTAGGCATCAGCAAAGGACAGGACAGATGTTAGGCATCAAAATGGGACAGGACAGCTGTTACCCACCAAACACACAAAGAAAACTACGACATTGCTACAACGTTCGAACAGGATTTAACACTTTCTAACAATTGTAACAACCAGTATAGCAATTTGTAACAATATTCTAATCCATCATAAACCCATTATAACAAGATGAAACAACTTTATTACAAGGGGGAATTATAGGGACCATTATGTTCTGAGTTTGCAGGATACGTATTAAGCATCAGTGTGAGAAGGGAGAGGCGTTATAAATAGGTATTGGAACAAAAACAGGTGCTCTAACAAGTAACAAATATACATATGGTAATAACACTTTAATATTTTCAGTGCATTGCTGGTTGTCACTGTTGCTTTATGTTGTAATATTTATTTGGAAAGCTAATGATAACATTTCTATGTTTATGATGTTTAGCTAAAGTGCTTAGGTTTGAATTGGAAGCTATTTTTTAATGTCAAGAAATTATTATAGATTTCCTTTACTGTACTGTATTTATTATATAATTATTACACCCACTAGAACTAATTAATGGTCTGTATTGGTGCATGAAAATGTAGATGATTATATATAAAGTGTGTATGCAGTTTAATAACAGCAAAAACAGTATGTTATATTGTTCTAAGAATATAACATGGTGTACATATTTGTGACATGAATATGTTTGAGCATTCCGATGTTCCATGCACCTTGTCCCATAAATTTGTCAAATTATGCACTATTGAACAAGATTACTGCAAAAACGAGAGCAATGATAAATCGGACACAAATTAATATGTAAACACATCCTCACAGAACTCTCGCCCCATGTCAGGGGCGGGGCAACCAACCCAGAGGCAATTGCTCCATGAACGTCCAACTACTTGGGCCAGACGGTAGAGCAAAGGTCTCGCTTCATGCAGGTCGGCGTTCAATCTTCGACCGTCTAGGTGGTTGGGAACCATTCCTCTTTCTCCCCCTCGTCCCATTCAAAATACTTATTCTGATCCTTTCCAAGTGCTATATAATTACAGTATAATGGTTTGGCACTTACCCTTGATAATTCCCTCCTTCCATCCATGACTGTGCAGGAATTGTGATGTCATTATGAGATTTTTTTCCCCATGCATCAAGGCATTCTTCTATAAACAGGGGTGCAGGCCTTCATTATAATCCAGCCCAAAAATGTGAAATGAAATTAAAGGGATGACAATTCGGTCCATTCTGAACCCTTATCAAATTGTGATGTATATGTGAGCTGGGTTACTTGGTTCAGGCATATTATTGTGACTTACTCTTTGCAATAATCTTAATGCTTGAAATTGGCATCAGCAAAACTAGTATTGTGTTGTAAAAGTACTCTTCAGTAAAGGCTATATGGCCTGTGGTACTGAAGCCCTTGTAGGCAGAAACTATTCTTGTGTTGAGAGTATCATATAGGTTTTATTTACATGGAAGGTGGAATTTGAGATGAATGTTTACTAACTAATGTCTTCTCTGACAATGACAGTTTTCAGCAAGAAGCCCACTACATCGGAGTATGGGAAGTTTACCATCACTGACGAACCAACAAAGTCCACCCCATCTTGGATGACTCCTTGGCAATCAACTACCAAGAAGACCACTATCATCACATCTACAAGCACCCAGCAACCCCCATGGGCCCCAAGTACAGAAAGACCTCAGTGGCCTCCAGCCACTGAACGACCTCAGTGGCCTCCAGCCACTGAACGACCTCAGTGGCCTCCAGCCACTGAACGACCTCAGTGGCCTCCAGCCACTGAGAGACCTCAGGGGCCAACAACTGCTCAGCAACCTCAATGGCCTTCATCCACACAGCGTCCTCAAGATCCTCCTCAACAGCCTCCAGGCACTCAATATCCACAGTGGCCTCCAACCACACCGCGTCCTCAATGGCCCCCAACCACACCGCGTCCTCAGTGGCCTCCAACCACACCGCGTCCTCAGTGGCCTCCAACCACACCGCGTCCTCAGTGGCCTCCAACCACACCGCGTCCTCAGTGGCCTCCAACCACACCGCGTCCTCAGTGGCCTCCAACCACACCGCGTCCTCAGTGGCCTCCAACCACACCGCGTCCTCAGTGGCCTCCAACCACACAGCGTCCTCAATGGCCTCCAGCCACAGAGAGACCAATATTGCCCCCAAGTACACAAAGGCCAGCCCCATCCACCAGTCGACCACAGGCTGTGAGTGGGCCTCGACCAGGAGACCCCTGTACTCCAAGTGACTACTTCCCGAAGATTGGCAGCTGCAACCTTTTCCTCAGGTAGGGAGCTTTACAGTCACAATCATTAACACTTGTATATCAGTGACTGCGTGGGAGTGAGATCTAGCTCTCTACCCCCACCTCCTAGCTTTTTATACCTAGTGTGCTTCTTATTACATCTTGTAGTGTTAAGTTCTGTCATATTTTTATCTTGAAGTTGTGAATGGAAGTCGCTTCAACAATTTCTTCTTTCTGTGTCTTCCACTTATATCCATACAGTGTATAAGAGTTTCCTTATATATCTGAGTCATTTGCATATCCATCTTACACTGATGTCCTTTTGTCCTACTTCTTTTCATTTTAAATATGCTGCCCTTGACCACCTTGTCTGTTCCTCAGTATCTTGTATATAATGAACATTTCCGCTCTGTTCTCTCCTTTAATGTTGAAAGTTCGAGTTCTCTTACCTGTTTATATAGCTAACCCCCCCCCCCCCCCTGTCAATTCTGGTACTACTCTTGTTGCAAATCTATGTACTTTCTCAAATCTTCTTTTGTGATTGACAAAGTATGGGTTTCATACCAAAGTTGCATACTTCAGTGATGGTTTTTTCTCTTAGATTAAGGACCTGCCCGAAACGCTGCGCGTGCTAGTGGCTTTACAAGACTGTAATTACCATATTTGTATCCTCACATTCCTTATGTACATTCTTGTATATGCATAAATAATAAATAATAAATAAATAATAATAATAATAATGGTCTCCTGTAGGCTGTGTACACGGGCTTGATAGCCTCCTTGTTTAGATTTTGAAAGGCTACTTTTGTGATTGCCTACTTTCCATGAGCTACTGAGCTACTATTTACTTGAGCTTTTGGTGTTAGTGTTGGGGTTACAGTATTCCCACTTCCAGCTCTTTTTCTTTTATTGTTTCTTGTAGTTACCATTTCCTTATAGTGTGGTGTTTTACAGGTCTGCTATCTATCTATTCCTTTCTCATTCTCATTACCTTACACTTGTTTGGATTGAATTCCAACATATATTTATCTGCCCATCCCTCAAGTTTGTCAAGGTCTTCCTGCATCACTTTAGTCCTCGATTTTTACTCTCCTCATAATGACGTCTAATGATGGACACCATGTGAGGCACCCTGCCAGACATATAAACACAAGCACTTAGAATCCTTGTTCAATACACTGTTAACACCACCTTGATAAAGGATATAGGTTCTTTAAAAAATGTGGTTAATAATACACTTACACAGTGTATTGGGGAGTTTTCTTCACCCCCATTCAAACACAAACACGGGCGTTTCATGCCCGAAACGCTTTGCATAATAGTGGCTTTAGGCATTGTATGTACTAGCTCTACCTATAAGTCAACCAATCTTTGTAAAAATTTCTTGTATGTATGTACCTTACCTAAATAAACACTACGGTATTGTAGTAAGGTTCTCCATTATTATTATTATTATTATTATTTCAAGGGTTAATCTGTGTTCATTCCGCAGGTGTATCAACCAGAAGCTGGAAGAAGGACGATGTGCACCGGGTCTTCACTGGAATCAAGCAGCTAAAATATGCGACTGGCCCAATAATGCCAAGTGCCAAAAGTTCCCTGGTGAGTATGGCAGCACACTTGAAAACATTCGCAACCTCACATCCATAACCTAGTGATTTAGATGGCTACCACGGTTTGCAGTAATGCTCAACAATAAAACAAAACAATAACAAATTTGATTTCTCAGGCATAAAATGTGAACAATAATGCATAACCTATAACTATGATTATGTGGCCATATTGCTAGTGCCCAGTTAAGTTCCCAATTGGCCTCTTTAATGACCTGAGAAAAGCATTTGATACCATAAATCATAATAACTTCCTACATAAATATCATCATCATGGGATTTGAGGCCTTATTCTGAACTCTATTCGATCATATCTCAACAACAGATACCAATATGTAATCAACAACAATATAACCTCTCCCTTTTTACCATTAAGTATAGGTGTGCCACAAAGCAGCATCCTAGGACCTCTCCTATTTCTTATGTACATCAGTGACTTTGTAAATACCTATATCTCTAATATTCTCAAACCTATATTATTTGCTGATAATACGCCCTTCATCTTTTCAAATCCCAGTTCACACACACTCTAAATAATATTGTAAACAATGAATTATGAAAAGTCTACTCATAGATGTCAACTAACAAATAATAATTACTGTAATTTTTATTTAACCAAAAGTACAAACATACATTACATAGGATATAAGAAGATTGTATGAATCATGGGTAGGGCTGGTACAATGCTTAAGGCCACAGGTACAATACACAGACCATTTCAGGCATAAAATGGAAGAAAAACTAAAAGACTTAAAACTAAATAAGATAAAAACAATAATGAATTGAGGCAGATCAAGAGGAAATGACAATTATTACACGACAATTAGAACAGCAAAAACCTCAACAAAACACGTTAATTTTACAGCATAAAGAGAAGGAATGCAATTTGTTATTCAGTTTTGACATTGCAGGTAAGAGCAGTATTAGTGCAGGTAGTACACATTCTCTTGTGCTATTTATACTTACAAAATGCTATTTCTTTATTCTAATCCTGTTTTGAAATTTTTCCTTGGTAGATGTGATAGAACTCATGAACATCATACTGGAAATAAATACAGTATCTCTTTGATATCCCCAGAGTCAGACTAAACCAATGCAGCATGCCATGCAAATAAAAGGGCCCAATATATGGAACTCACTCCCTAATGATTTAAAAAATTGTTCAGCCTATAAATTATTGAAAAGTCAAACTATGGAGTACCTAATTTGATCTTCATAGCATCCCACCTTGTGCTATCAACTCTCACAGTATCTTATGCTACCCACTCATCCAGTATATAACAATGTAGAAATGCAACTTCATTGTTATTGTATTTTATCTCTTTATACTGACGTTCGTAATCATGTGAATTTAAATTGTTACAATGTACCTATCATTATCCTTAATTGTTAGCTTAAGGACCTGCCCGAAACACTATGCATGCTAGTGGCTTTGCAAAAATGTACTACTCACCCACTAATATATGTACTTTAATAACCCATTGTATCTTCTTTTACAGTATATGAATAAATAATTGACATGCTTTAGAGCCTTATCATCTGGCTTCACCTGGGGGAAAGTGGGGGAGTAAATGTACCAACTTTTCATTAACTTGATTTCATAAACAAAATGTTTATCTTGTAGGTCCACCTCCAGATGTTCGACCCATCAAACCTGAAGTTATTCCTCCTTCCATCCCAACAACCACGATTTCCACCACACAAGCCGCCACCACCACGCAACCCACCACCACCTCCACAACTCAGCTCTCCACAGTCACCTGGTGGTGGACACCGCCCTCCACCATCTCAACCACCACACGACCATGGTGGACACCTCAACCTACCACCACTTGGAGACCCAAAACTACCACTACCAAACTACCCTGGTGGCATTCCACTCGTTCCACCCATGTTTCATCATCTACAACTACACCTCTCCAGACTCCCGCCCCCGTGTCTAGCCAACCCGCACATAGTTCCTCTGAAGAAGCTGAAGGAGATAGGTGTGAAGAGGGCAACACTCGGGGCTTGGTTGGCGAGTGCAACAGCTTCCTGCAGTGCGTCAACGGGGCCTGGCTCAAGCTCTCCTGCGGTGCTGGCCTTCACTGGAACAGAAAGCTCAAGATCTGTGACTGGCCTCATATGGCGAAGTGCACCAGTGAGTACATGTTTTCCTCACTTAAACAGAGGAATTTATATATTTATATATTACATAATGGAGTCAGAGCTATTGGTGAAAAAATTTAATTTCTTGTATTACAACACCATAAATTCACTTGTAGGTCCTCAAGGAGAGCTGTACAAGAAGGGGCTAGGTAGTATGTGAGTTTCTAGAGTATTATAGATATAATATAGCTATATAACTTGTGAAAAGATTTTGACATGGCGTTCACCTCCTTGAGTTAATTGTGCATTTAATAAGCGTTAAAATTAAGTCAAAATTTGCTATTAATGATAAAATGCTTAGATCCTAGGAGATAGTAAACTAAATAGTTAAAGAAAAATAGTTTACAATAGAACTCAGGCAGGCAAGTAGCTAGGACATGATGTGGATATTTCACGCCTTGCATTCCAAGCAGTAAACTTGCTTGTTATAAAAGATATTTGTAGAAATAATGAAATGCAAAAGTTTTTAATACAAATTATTACCCGGTATTAATTTTCTTAAACAAAGCCGTGTTCTCTTTGCAAGCAAGGAGACATAATAAGGTTAGTGAAATGTTCAACTTGTAAAACAAATAACTTTTGTTATTTGTTTAACTTTTACTTCATTATCTTTGTTTTTATTAGATGTTGTGCTGACTAATCAAATCCCACATATACTTAGTCTTACAATGTATTCATGTAATTAAAAAAATTCAGTGAAATACATGTACAGTAATTGAATGAGTTAAATACTGTAATGTCATTTCAAACAACTGGTACTACAAAAGACGCTATTTGCTACAAAATATGGTACCTGCACTGCTGCACTTTGGTGTCAGTAGCCAGAGTGCAGTAGTGCAGAAATGCTACCATTTAGATGCCTTAGAAAGCAGAGCTAGGCTTCCTAGGTCGTTTTGTTGATTGATGGTGGACTTGCACAGATCGCCATGTGTATAGGTAATAGAGATCATATTAATCTTGAATTTATGCATGGATGCAGTAGCATGTTATCTCACATAATATGTTCCTTGGTGTGACTGCATGACCTTCTAGTTGCATGATAACTGGGATGCTAACAGAGATGACTAGAATGGATGGAGAGCAGATGCGGTTTCTGCTAGTGTACCATGCGAGTTGTCTCTGCTGGTACTCTTGTTTGTGTGTAAGATATGTGCTAATGTTGGCCCCAAGTACAGTGACTGAGATATGCTCAGTGCTCCTGAATTACATTTCTCATGAAACGTGACGAGGAAGATCAGAGCAGCCAGAAATCTTGCCACTGCTTGACTGTATCCCAGCAAGTGCTGTGACCCGCAGGTATAGTGTCCACCTATAACCCGGATGGTTCTTCAGTTGGCCCTAGGGCCAGAACGCGCTGCAAGAATGAGGGCCAGGCATTCGCGGGGCCCCAGTGTACTGCTGTGGTGCGATGCACTCAGGGTTTCCTCACAGTCGGCCATTGTACTGGTGGGCTGGTGTGGAACAACGATAAAGACTCCTGCGACCTACCCTATCGAGTCCCCATGTGCTCAACTGTTATCTTCACGCCCAAATCTGAAGGTAGCAGCCTAAGCCACCCTTTCCCCTCAAATGACCGCTTCATTCACACCTGCCTCCCCTCTCAATCATTTGCCAGCTTCATTCATAAATGCTAATTTGCCTATTTGAATATCAACTAGATTTTCATCTGCTATTCCTTAGCACCAGTCATTCTTGCCCATATCAGCAGCCAAGTTTTTATCAGCCAAACCTCCAGAACACCCACAAGTCCCTGTCATCAGCCTCACAACTTTATACCTGCTAACCTTTCTTTGATCCATAGCTCTCATATGAACCACTCATTAACAGTTTCTTTGAAAAGCTGCAAACAAATTCTTGCAAGAATCTTGGTTCTTACTCTCCAGTAAAACCATCACCCCGACTTGCTTCCTGCGGTTTGTGTGGCCGGGCTCTTAGCTTTACCATCTGCTTTTCTGCAAACATTCGTGACAAAGCAATCTGCACAGAAATATACGATGCCGGTAGCGTAATTTCTAATTTTAGAGCACTTTTAAATTTATTGTAATGGGATACAAGTATGCTTTATGTGCACTGGGATTTGTGTATATGTAAAGGTACTGGAGCAAGTGCTTGATATACCAGTTTTGTGTGCAAGTTTTCCTGGTTTAGTTAGCAATAATTCATACTTACCTGGTAATTATTAATCCACCCTTAATTATTTTACTGGGCTATGGTCTTGAGTGTATGGGATCGTGTGCAAGTGCCTCCGTCGTGAGCAGAGTCTTAAGTCCTTGTCTTTCTTCCCGAGCTCTACAGACACAACACGGAATGCCAGCTACCCGCAACCCACTGAAGTGTACATCATCACATCTAAGTTAATATTCTTCTCTTGCAGAGTAGACGGGGCATAGTGGGAACCATGTGTGGTAATCTCAGGTTGTGTGTATCACTAACTCTGCCTGCACAGAGTTACTGCTGCTGCTGCTGCTGCTGCTGCTTGCTTTAACACTGCACCTCCTTCTCCCCGCATGCCTTGCAGGCTCCCACTAACACCTTCAGCATGCCCAGCATCACACCCAAAGGGGGTGAGGCAGAGTGACGGTTGTTTCTGTCTTCGCCCTCTTTTTCTGCATCAGTGTGCTTCAGCATCAATTGTATACCATTTGCTTCATTTGTTTTATACCATTCTGCTCACTTTGTTTTATTTTTCTCGCCCTCACTTTGTTTTTCTCCCTGGCTACTCAGATCATCCTTTTTTTTTTTTAACTTTCCCATTTGTATATTTCCATTATAATTTTCCCCAGCTTCTCTCAATGCATGCTAGCAGTGAGAATTAGTTGCCCTGTGTAAGCAAACTATGAGATCAACCACTACTTAATTATCCCCTCACCTTTCCACATGGCCCTCCCATCCTTCCCTTTTCACACACACACACACACACACACACACACACACACACACACAAATGGAATTGGCAAATGGAATTTAATGTTAATAAATGTCATGTTATGGAATGTGGAATAGGAGAACATAGACCCCACACAACCTATATATTATGTGAGAAATCTTTAAAGAATTCTGATAAAGAAAGAGATCTAGGAGTGGTTCTAGATAGAAAACTATCACCTGAGGACCACATAAAGAATATTGTGCAAGGAGCCTATGCTATGCTTTCTAACTTCAGAATTGCATTTAAATACATGGATGGCGATATACTAAAGAAATTGTTCATGACTTTTGTTAGGCCAAAGCTAGAATATGCAGCTGTTGTGTGGTGCCCATATCTTAAGAAGCACATCAACAAACTGGAAAAGGTGCAAAGACATGCTACTAAGTGGCTCCCAGAACTGAAGGGCAAGAGCTACGAGGAGAGGTTAGAAGCATTAAATATGCCAAAACTAGAAGACAGAAGAAAAAGAGGTGATATGATCACTACATACAAAATAGTAACAGGAATTGACAAAATCGACAGGGAAGACTTCCTGAGACCTGGAACTTCAAGAACAAGAGGTCATAGATTTAAACTAGCTAAACACAGATGCCGAAGAAATATAAGAAAATTCACCTTCGCAAATAGAGTGGTAGACGGTTGGAACAAGTTAAGTGAGAAGGTGGTGGAGGCCAAGACCGTCAGTAGTTTCAAAGCGTTATATGACAAAGAGTGCTGGGAAGACGGGACACCACGAGCGTAGCTCTCATCCTGTAACTACACTTAGGTAATTACACTTAGGTAATTACACACACACACACATGCACGCACGCACGCACGCACGCACGCACGCACGCACGCACGCACGCACGCACGCACGCACGCACGCACGCACGCACACACACACACACACACACACACACACACACACACACACACACACACACACATCCACACACATCCACACACATCCACACACACACATATACCCTTACCCTCCTTCCCTTTCCACACACACTCTTCCTCCCTCCCCCCCTCACTAAAGTGCGTCCACCGCTGGCATGAAAAGAAGACTGAGATCGTTGGAGCGCTGATTTGACTCTGAGTGAACCATGAATACGGTCTCTGAGCTGGTGCCCCTTCCCAAGACCCACTTAAGTGTCGTAAGTTGACAGGGAAGGGCTAGCGTATAGCCCAGTGCACCTCTGCCATCCCATCTACTGTTAAATGTTCTCCGATGAACCTATCCACTATGATGTTCCGCCATCATCCCATCTACCGTTGAGTGTAGCCCCCCCATCATCCCATCTATTTCTGAATGTACTGGTCATCCTGTTTAGTGTACCCCTGCCAGCCAGTTATTTTCATTCCTGTACAGGTTTTCAAGAAATCTTGAACTTTTACAGAATGTTGACTTGTTGAACATATAGAGGATTCTAATAATTATGTTCCCTGTATCCTTTAATTTTCATTTAAGATGCTAAGTTGTAGACTGTCTTTTATGTATTGAATTGGTTAGTATATTTGTTTCCTCCTAGAGGCAGTTTTGGTGATTTACAGAATCTATTGAAATTTTTCTTACTTAAATAAACTGCAAAATCTACTTTCTCAATTTCTTATTTTTACTGTTTTTTCTCATAAGTAATATATAGACCTAATGATGCATAGTTACAAAATCTGTTTATATATGTAGGCCTATGTAGGATAATTCTTATTGCATGGTACTTAGGTATTTCATAATGGCTTCAATCGTAGAGTTCAGAACATTAGTCTTTATGGCATCTTGATCCATAAACTATGTGGCATGTTAGAATGTCATAACATGAGGCTGAGATGTTTTGACCTAATGGCTGAATTCTACAGTGCCGTAACATTTTAATGCAGACATACAAAGTGTTTTCCTCCTAATAACAGAACACTAGTTTTGAGTTGTTCAGACATAGTACTGCAACTATGTGTGTGGTGTTAAAACTTGCTGCAGTATCATAAGTCTGTAGGGTATTATGACTTCATGGCACTAGTCTGTCAGTTCTGTGGCATAAAGTTCTTTTGCATATTGACCTGGAAGGGAGGGAGGGAAGCAAGTGGAATGGAGGGTGCGGAGGAAGAAAGGTCATAGTACCAATGGGCCCACTACACCCTTGTGCTGATCCACTTAAACGCCACCACCACCACCTACTATATTGGCCAGTGTACCCCACACCTTAGGGGGGTTTCCTTTGTGGTTTAGAATCATGCATGAGACCAGTGGAGCAATTGTGTTTTTACTGTAGAAATTACTGTAATGTGCTAAATAGCCTGTAGGAACTGCCATGTTACTCAGACATTAACTCATGATAGTCATGTACAAAATTCCCATTGTTATATCATTGTAATAGGTCCCATAGAAATATCCCTATTATACTTGCACCAAACCAGTTCATTAGATTGCCTAGAAACTCCTATAGCACCCCTTTAGAGGTCAGCAGCATCACTGCAGTATGATGTATTCTGAGATTGGATGAGCAGTGTGCATAATTTATTGCCTTTGTTGAGGGCAAATTAAGGTGTGGGGAACCCTATTTTGGTGGCGTGAAACAGATAAATAGTGTTTGTGTGGTGTTTGGTGTAGTGGACCAGTGATGGTACCTCCTCCTCCTCCTCCTGCCACCCTCCTGTCATCACACCTTCGTGTTTCTCATAACCTTCTTCTTGTTCCAGCCTCTACAGTGTTGCAGATGGAGATCGTCCGCCCTCCCCGGCTCGTGAGGGAGGAGCTCCTCTCCCTGCGCCCACACTGCTGGTTTGCCACCACCAGTCTCCAACACCTTTTTTCCATCTCCCACTTCACCTCTATTTTCCACTCCTTATGCCCATCACTTTTCCTTCTTTTTTTATAGTCTCTCTTGGAAGGAGTCTCAGGGGTTTCGTTTTCTCTCTTACTTCAGCACTGGTCTGTGACACCCAATTAAAGAAAGAAAATGGTAAACACTGTACATGACAAAAGAGACTGTATTCATGGTTGCCCCACAAACAGACCTGCCCCATTGGTTGTCCTGCATTGCTTCTCTACTAAATGCACCACTAACAACTGCTTGCTCACTGCTTGTCGCCTTTAAAGTTAGATTGTTACCATTGATGAAATATATTATATATAACTGTTATTTATCTTTCAGATAGTTCAATTGTAGGTGTTGATATAGTAGTTAGTGCCACTCAGTGCCACCTCAAAGCTTGCATAAAAGTCAAGTTAGGAACTACCTTCCCTTCTTTTCCTGTCAGTTTGAAGTGTATGTGCCAACCCTCATCAAGGGACTTCACCATTCAATCTACAGTCACCCTATTTCACCTCTGACCATGGAAAGAAGGGAGGCAACTTAGAAAATTTCAGAAGGCAGTGTAGGCTTGAACCCAAGTAGCAGGGGATTGAGATAGTAAAGCCAAGATAAAGGAAGAAATGGAGGAAGGGGGCTATAGGGTAGTGAATGTAAAGTGTCACTACCTTTTCCCCCTACCCCCCCCCCCCCATCCCCCTGTAACAGGGGTGAAATGGCACGTGTCTTTCACATTTCCTCAGCTTTGCGGCCAGAGGAGTCCGAGTTCCCCGGGTCAAGTAAGCTGTCAACACCCAGACCTACCGACATCAGTATGCCATGCTCATTAGGTGACAACATCATTGCCGACCCCCATAGCTGCAGCCATTACTTAGTCTGCATCCATGGAGAGTGGAAAAGACAAAAATGTCAAGCTAATACCCTATGGAATTCGGTTAGTTGTTGTGTATCTCTGCTTCTGTCAGTATTATTCATAACTGTTGTTCACACCTTTTGAATAATGTTTCTCTGAATTATTCTGTGATATGCCCGAACCTCTTTACATAGTAGTGGCTTTATTTTATGTGTAACTCCTGTACTTACAATTATATCCATCTCTTATGTCATTGGTATGCATATTGTTATGACTAAAGTATTATTATTATTATTATTATTAACACACACAAATCACATTAATGTGATATATATATATCAATGAGAATATTCACTAGGGCTATGAGGTGGGTGCGAACCCATGACCCCGGCACGGTGTAGGACCACTCTGCCCTTCCACTCGAGTGCTTGTGCGTAAAAACTTGTACTGGCTTCAGTAGGGACCTCCAGACTTACTGTGATGTCAGTAGAATTCCAGTTGTATGACTTTTGCAAGTCAGCGGTGGTCCAGTGGTAGAGTACACAGCTGGCAATGCCGGGGTCGTAGGTTTGCGTTCACCTAATAGCCCCAGTAGATTTTTTCATTATTATTATTATTATTATTATTATTATTATTATTATTATTATTATTATTATTATTATTATTATTATTATTATACAGTACCAACTCAGACATTTTAGACTTCACATGCATATCAATGAAGTACTGTAAATGCAAATTACACACAGGGGTCCATCTCACACTTATCTTTAACAGGAGCAAAAGACCTGTGACTGGCCAGCAAATGTCAAGTGCAAGAACAAACCCACACCCCCACCGACCGGTTCCAAATGGCCCAAGCCAGAGACGAGCACTCCACCACAGGCTCATCCAGGATTCCCAGGGCAGGAACCCCCTGCACCTCCCGAGATTCCGTCTGAGGTTTCTCCCTTACCTGAAGAGACCCAAACGCCTAGCACAGTTGATTTAACTCCCGTGGATGCTACTGGAGGGCTTTCAGGTAAGGCTGGTAGGCTGTGAATGGAAACAATGGTTGTTTGTGTAGTTGGGTGGTAGTGGGTGGGTCTTAGGTGAGGTTGAAAGGCAGTGGAGGCTTTTGATGAGCTGGAAGACAGAGTGAGGAGGGAGGGGGGCTGTTAGGTGAGGCTGGAAGTCAGCATAGGAGGACAGCTGTCAAGCAAGGCTGGAAGGTAACGGGGGTTGTCAAGTGTGGCTTAAAGACAGTGGGTGGTTGTCAGGGAAGGCTGGAAGGCAGTGGGAGGCTGTCAAGTGAAGCTAGAAGGCAGTGTGGGGGGGGGGAACTTGTCAGGTGAAGCTAGGAGGCAACAGTGTATTCTCAGTGAATCTTTAAATTAATCCTCTCACTGTTGGTTAACTTTAACACTATGAACAATCAAAACATTCTCCTTATCCTTTTCTATCACTTCTGACTCTTCTCTTATCTAACTCCTCTCTCTCTTAGTCCCCTCTGACACCTCACTCTCGTCCTAACTCCTCTCACCACTTCTCTGATTCCTTCCCTCTCTCCACTCCCCTCTGATCCTTCTTTTCCCTCCTCCAGGTGACTATAAGGTGGTATGCTACTTCACGAACTGGGCATGGTACAGGCCTGGGGTAGGCAAATACAAGCCAGAGGACATCGACCCTACCCTCTGCACCCACATTGTATATGGCTTTGCTGTGCTTGACTACTCCAACCTGATCATCAAGCCTCACGATAGCTGGGCCGACATCGATAACAGTGAGTTTCCTTGTTTCCTTCCTGGTGAGGATGGCATTGTGGTCACAAATTGTAATGAGAGAAGGTGAGACAAAAAAGAGGTTTGAAAACAACAATGAAAAAAGTGATATTTTCCTTGTAAATTAGCTAAAATATTCAGAACTGATGCAGTGAGATGGTAGTCCAAACTCTAGAATGTAATGATATTGTTTCGTGTTCACGTTAAATTAAATTAAATTAAGCTTGCTGTGTTTAGCTGATGACTTCATCTCTTTACCTTATACCTAACTCATATTTTCATTGTGTTTATTTTGAGTTTGCCATGTGATTAGCATTACGTGTGCCCACCTCAAGTTGGCCTGTTCTGATTGTGCATTTCTCCCTACGGCAGAGTTTTACGAGAAGGTGACTTACCTGAAGAGGAGGGGCATCAAGGTAACTATTGCCATTGGTGGATGGAATGACTCTGCCGGCGACAAGTACAGCCGCCTAGTGAACAACCCTACAGCTCGCAGAAAATTCTCTCAACATGTCGTAGAGTTTATCGAGAAGTACAACTTTGACGGTCTTGATTTGGACTGGGAATACCCTAAGTGCTGGCAGGTAAGAGAGGGTGGGGAAATTAAGAAATATAGAAAAAGTCAGTACAGTAAATACAAATCAAGGAATTGGGGAATACAAGCTATTCTGTAGTTTCATAAGTTTACTATACAGTATATTCATCACTAATGTAAAACCGCTCGTTATTCTCGAAAAAAGGGTTGAAAGTATTATTGTTGAAAGTATTGTTGAATGCTTGAATAAAACCTATATAATGGAAGTTCCTGTAAAATACCATTCCAATATTTGTTACTTGAACAGATAGATTATGTAGTATGGAAGTCAATTTTTAAGGTAAAACTCTTCCTTGAACAGTGAAAAAAAAGTGTCATAATGGATTTAATGCAAATTCTTCTATGTGAATTTGTTTGTTTAGATTTATCCATAATAATGCAATTGTTTCTTGCCCTCGGCAACAATGTTTGATAATGCGGTTGTACTTCAGGTGGACTGCAACAAGGGCCCGGCGTCGGACAAGGAGGCCTTTGCTACATGGGTGAAGGAACTGAGTGAAGCCTTCAAGCCACGTGGCCTCCTCCTCTCCGCTGCCGTCTCCCCCAGCAAGAAGGTCATTGATGCAGGTAAACAAAAAAAAAATTAATCTTGCAATTTCCCACATCCTTGAGGTATATGTGTTTTTTATAATAATTTGTAGGAGTGTAATAGTTGCCACCAGCAATAACTAGCATGACACAGTGATGCAATCTTCATGTACGTGTACATGTAAGCAAGTTTAAAACTTTAAAAACCATCACCTTTAAAACATTATAGATTATCTATGCCTCCATTGTTAAAAAAAGGTGAATATTAGATGAACAAAGAATGTCAATGTTTTCCTACATCCTTTTGAGCCTTTTGAGAAAGGATGTAGGTTTCTTCTGAGAATTTGGTTTCAATATATTTACACATGTACTAGTATTGGGTCTTTCCTTCACCTTTATTATTATTATTTTATTGAGTCATTGGAGACTCAAGACAGTGCCTACATTTATGCCTCGTTATAAGTCACAGTAACACATAATCAGCTAGTAGAGTTTTATATTGTCTTGAACGAACACCACTGAGATCATAATCAGCTAGTAGAGTTTTATATTGTCTTGAACGAACACCACTGAGATCATAATCAGCTAGTAGAGTAATATATATTGTCTTGCACTGACACCACTGAGATCATAAGCTAATGTTAGATTCTTCCACCACCACAGGTTACGATGTGCCTACCCTCAGCAATTACATGGACTGGATTGCCGTCATGACCTATGATTTCCATGGTCACTGGGACAAGAAGACTGGCCATGTCGCCCCTATGTTCTATCACCCTGAGGACGAATATGATTACTTCAACATGGTGAGTAGTGGTCTGGTGAGGCGGTAATTTGAAGTTGGTGTGTAGTGTGTGTTTATGCAATTAACTAAATGTACTTCCAGGATGAGAGCTATGTTTCAGCATCATATGACACTGAAATAAACTGCTCATGGTTTTGACATCCTCCACAATCTCACTCTCTCATTATCTATCAATCTATCTATCTATCTGTCTGTCTCTTGCATTCTTTCCCACTTTCCCCACCTCCATCCTGCCTTGTCCCCCTCCTCTTAGCTAGTTTAAAACAATATACAAGTTACATGTTGATTATACATTGCACATCATTTCCATCCTCAGGACTTTGCCATCAGATACTGGCTGGAGAAAGGTGCCTCCAAGGACAAGATAGTGCTGGGAATGCCACTCTATGGACAGTCCTTCACCCTCAACGATCCCCAAAATACTGGCCTAAATTCCCCAGCCCGAAGTGGTGGTCAGGCTGGAGAGTTTACCCGTGCCCGCGGCTTCCTTGCCTATTATGAAGTATGTCAATTGCCTCTTACATATTATGTCAATTGCCTATTACTAAGTGCAATATGCTCTTTGCCTATTATGAAATAAAGTACAGTATGTTAATTGTGTCTCTTTTCTTTCATTTTGGATTAAATAGGTGTGATTTAAAGCCCAGCTTTGTCATGAGCTTTAGATTCGTACATGACAAATTGAATAAGACATTCCACATTCAGAAACATTGATAAATCACATTTCCCTCAGATCTGCAAAAATATTCAACAAGGATGGCAGGTGGTGAAGGACCCTGAGAGCAGGATGGGTCCATATGCATACTCTGGCAACCAGTGGGTGTCCTTCGATGATGTTGATACCATCAGGATGAAGGTATGATTTGCTATTTTTTTGTTTCTATTTTAAACCGTAAAGGAGTTGTGATTAAATCCTATAGCTAATAATTATGCATTGCATGCCATTTTTAGGAACCAGTGCCTTGAATTGAGTAAGTTTTAATGTGTTTTCTTTTTGCTGACAGTCTGAGTACATCCGTAAGATGGGCTTGGCTGGTGGAATGGTGTGGGCCCTCGATCTTGATGACTTCAACAACCGCTGTGGACAGGGCCGCCATCCACTCCTGAATACTATCAAGAAAGTGCTCGGCCCAAGCAAATCTGGTGTCCAACCACCACCATTACGGTTACCAGAACCTGACATAATGCCATCCAAGCCAGACACGTCACCGGTAAAACAAGTGTCTACAGAGACATCATGGTCCCAAGGAACAACCCCATCAGTGTCAGTCCCAGAACATGTTATCACTCCTAAACCCGGGACATCAGGACCTGTATACCAAAAACCTAATGGAGGCGAGTACGAGTGCATGATGGCTGTGGTTTATTTGGCATGTTAACTTTACTTGGTCATTTTTCTTCCTTTTTAATGATTGAAATCTGCTTTCTATTTAGAAATAAATTTTATATTAGAGACATCACTCCACCTCCTACTATAGTACAAGTTTCCAGGACAGCTTGGCTTAATTAAAGGGGGTGTAAATTTTTCCATATAGTAAATGAATAATTACTGTAAATAGTTTAAATTACAATGTGTTTTGAGATACTCGCAAATTTTCTCTGCCGGATAAAGTAGATCATCTAGCCATTCTTTCAGTGCAGGATTTATTTAAATATTTCTTAAACCCTTCTTTACAAACCTTATTTAAGTATTTCTTAAAGTCTTCCTTGATATAATCCTAACAAAGCATAAATCTGCACTTCAGTAACATTTAGATTTCCTCTTATGAATTTAGACTATCTGCACTGCTATTGGCATTCATTATTAAATGGCTACAGAAACTCAAATACAGTATATTTAGACTACGTCACGTAGTACCCGCCTTGGTTCAAGTGTAAATCCAGGGCGGGAAGGGATGTTTGGCACTTTTCCTTTCTCTCACGCCTCTATTCACCTATTGAAGATGGCCAATGGGAAACCTCGATAAACTTAATAGGCTTCCTGTTCCAAACAGTACAACATCTATAGGTGTTTTCATAGGTCATCAAAGAATGCATGTAGCATAATAAAATACTGTAAGTAATAGAAATAGATAACTTTTCCTACCCGATATAACCTTACTTGCTCCTTGCACAGATGATGGGTACAAGGTAGTGTGTTATTTCACCAACTGGGCGTGGTACCGGCCAGGAGAAGGCAAGTACGTTCCCGAGGACATCGACTCTTCCCTCTGCACACACGTCATCTACGGCTTCGCGGTTCTTGATGCCAACACCAACAAAATCAAAGCACATGATTCTTGGGCAGACTATGACAATAGTGAGTGACCTTAGTAACCCCATAATAATAATAATAATAATACAGTATTTTATTAATACTGTATTAATAAAATATTATTAATATTAATTTACAAAGGAAGATTGTTACAGTAGTTATTTGCAAGTTACTGTACAGTAATTGTATATAGGAATCCTAAGTTCAGTTCTTGGGCCTGACAGAAATGATTGGGCATATTTCCTTTCATCTAATGCCCCTGTTTACCATGCAGTAAATAGGTACCCAGGAGTTAGGGATTTCATCACTGGGAAAGTCATTAGTTCAACCTAGGAATGGATTGTTCTTTCCTCAACAATGGGAATTATATGTTATCAGCTAAACATCTTAGTTTTTATTTCTATTTATATATGTTAACATAGATCTCTTATTGTTAAGTACAGTACAATATTACCATTCAAATGTATTAACAGTGGAAACATAATTTTAAAGTTTGCTTGAAATGCTCTACATAATTAGTGGCATTATAAAATATATAAATACTTGTACCCAAATACATAAATTTTTTACTGTAACAATGTATTTAATATAAAGTAATAATAATAATAATATTTTATTCATAAAAATGTGCATACAAAGAATATAAAAGAGGTACATTTATAGGAACAGGAGTTGCACATCAAATAATGCCACTACTACGCAAAGAGTTTAGGGCAAAACGTAGAATAATTCAGATAAAAACTATTGATGTGTATAATGGGTAAACACTTCATACTAAATGAGAAGTAAGCTAATATATGTGACATGTTCAAGAAATACTGTATACCTGTAACAAATATTATTATTATACTCGCATGCCAAAGCTAAGAGGCAGGGCCAGAAAGCTTGACCTCTCTCTCAGCAAATACATTTAAAAACAGCTCAAAATACCACTATAGTATTTGTATTCAGCTTTCACATACAGATTATACATTTTGTACGTATAGTGCTAACACTGCATTAGTTAAATGTGTTGGCCAAAAAAAAATCAAGCGAAGCAAAAACTGTTGAATGTAACCATGAGTCAAGCTTCAAAGCACTAGGGAGATCAATTAAACCTTATAGCCTGTGTGGCATTACTCTTGCAGAGTTCTATGAGCGTGTGGTGGCCCACAAGGCTAAAGGGGTGAAGGTTCTCATAGCCATTGGTGGATGGAATGACTCTGCTGGAAGCAAGTATAGCGTCCTGGTGAACAACCGTGCAACTCGTAGTGCATTCAATGCGCACGTTGTTGATTTTATCCTGAAGTATAACTTCGATGGCCTTGATTTGGACTGGGAGTACCCTGTGTGCTGGCAGGTAAGGAATCGGCAACACTAAATATTCTAGCAGTTTTGTTCTAGTAAAGTGTATTCCCATGAACATACAAAAATATTAATTTTGTTTATGAAATTTAAAATGTTAGTGAAAAAATGTTGTTTATTATTTATTTAGCAAAACAATAGCCATACAGAAAAACAATACTGTACATTGTACTATAATTTGTAATTGCGGTTTGTTTGATAGCCTGGTGCATGAAAATGTTAAAATATATTGAGAGATAGGGTTTCACAATACAGTACATAGACTTTATTCTCAACATGCAACTTGGGATCCCGGGTTTGATTCCTGGGCAGGACAGAAATGGTTGAGCACATTTCCTTTTACCAAATGCTTCTGTTCACCTAGCAGTAAAATAGGTACCTGGAAGTTAAGCAACAGTTGTAGGGTTGCATCCTAGGAAAGGTCAAGGTCAGTAGTTCACATTTGGGAGTCCTCAGTACAAGCCTGAAGTATATATATATATATATACACACACACACAGGCTTCCTGTCTCTGATAAAACTAATTAAATTAATTATGTTCTAACTTTCCTCTTCTTTTAGGTGAACTGTGACAAGGGTCCCAGCACTGACAAGTCAGCTTTTGCTGAATGGGTGAGAGAACTCAAGCAGGCCTTCCAGCCTCATGGTCTTCTCCTATCATCTGCTGTCTCTCCCAGTAATAAGGTTATTGACATGGGTACGTCTTGGAGAGCTTTTGTTTCTGATAGATACCTCTTATCTTTATAAGATATATATACCTCTTATCAAGTCTTTTGACTTGAATGCAAGTTGCACTCGATGGATATTTGATGGGTAGATGCTACAAATAGAGCAATCAATTTCAGACCCTGTTTATTAAACATTCTGTAGTTTCTGTGCATAACCTACTTTCATTTATTTTATATTATTGTTCCTGTATATACTCAAATTGAATTAATTATTTTTCAAAGTAATCACTTTATTTTTTCAAAATCTCTACTTCTGTGTACCTTTTCTATCCAATAAGATTTTGTCTCAAAATATTCCACACTCATTCCAGGTTACGATGTGCCTGTTTTGAGTCAATATCTGGACTGGATTGCTGTCATGACATATGACTACCATGGCCAATGGGACAAGAAGACTGGCCATGTTTCCCCTATGTATGCCCACCCTGAGGACGACAATCTTGCATTCAATACTGTGAGTTTCCGTAGTCCCGCAAATGGCATCAGCCCAGCAAGTTTCCCGGATCCCTCGACTGGTGTCATATTTAAAAAAAAGTCACTTATTTAAAGTCAAGATTGCATCCTTAAAGCTAGTAACTGAGCTTAAGTTCTTAAAATGGTTAATGTATTTTTCATCTAAAGATATAACAAATTGGTTTTTGGACCTTGCATAACATGACCAGTCATGAAATCTAACACCTTATTCTTAGAGCTAACTTCATGAACTGTATGTTTGATGTGGAATTTATTGAAGCCATGACCTCAAGACTTCCGGTATCTGAAACAGGAGTTCCTGTTCATGTTGCGACTTTCATTTCATTTGCACAGAACTTCACCATTCACTACTGGATCGAGAAGGGGGCAGATAGAAAGAAGCTGGTGATGGGTATGCCCATGTATGGCCAATCATTCAGCCTGGCAGAGCGCGGGAACAAGGGACTCAACCAGCCGACCTATGGAGGGGGCACGGCTGGCCAGTACACACGGGCAAGAGGATTCCTTGCCTATTATGAGGTAATATAAAAATCTTTATTTATAAATCTTGTAATTTCTTGTTTATCTGTATCTTTTCAAATCTTGTTTATCTGTATCTTTTGCTACCCAGTCTCCCAATCTTTATGTACCCAATCTGAACATCTTTACCATTGTGATCATTGCTGTCTTATATGTGCTGTCAATCTGCTGTATGGTGTCTATTAATCTTGTTTAAATTACTAATCAAGCTGTCAATGTAATCAATCAGAGCTTTAATATAACAATGTGCTTTAATATACTTACATATCTCTCTCATCTCATTTTTCTCTTGTAATGTATCTTTATCATTTATCAATTCTGATTGAAATTACCTTCTTAAAATTATCTGCTAGATTAAGGACCTGCCCGAAACGCTGCGCGTACTAGTGGCTTTACAAGAATGTAAATACTGTACTATCCAATGTATTCTCACAAACCCAATGTACCTTCTTGTATATATATAAATAAATAAATAAATAAATATATTAAGATTTTGCTACTCTTGTAAATACTAATAACAATAATTACAATAATAATTTTTATTGTTATTTAAAAATATACAAACATGATACAGTGGTTGCTTATTTATTATATAAAGGTGCATGTTTAATAAAGCCACTAGTACACAAAACAGTCCCCATGGTACAGTGATAACACACTCGCTTTGCACTTTATGAGCAAATTTTGGCCTGGGTTCGTATCCTGGTGGGGGAGGATTGACTAGGCGTCTTTCCTTAACTGTACGCCTCTGTTCATCCAGCAGTGATTGGGTACCTGGTTGTTAAATGATTAGCGGATCGTGTTTTACGATTTCTATAACGACATTAATGCTACTTTAAACTACATCTTACTACTACTGTTTTATTATGATATTGGTTCAACTGTAGATCTACTGTGCTAGTTGAAAACTTCTACTGCAGTATGATTTAGTTACTACAACTACTTTATTATTTCTACTACTGCATTATTCACCTGAATTTACCTGAGGGCCACTATCTCACTAGTGGCTCCAATAAGGACAGGAAGCCGACACCTTCCCAAAGGTACCACCATCATCATCCCCACTGATTGTACCACCACAATCCTCCATTGATGGTACCACCACCACAATCATCCCCTCCATTGGTAGTACCACCTCCGCCACCATCCCCATTGATGTTACCACCCCATCATTCCCATTGATGGTAACCCCCACTATCCTCATCAACTGGTTATTTAAATGTTTAGGATAAGTAATTAATTCGTAGTTTTATTTGTAATTTTTGTAATATGCACTGTACTGTATTTTAATCTTTTCTATCATCTCTGATTTCAACTTCATATTTTCTCTATATATATATGTATATAAAATAATTCTCATTCATTTCCAATCCATTGACTTAGAGTGGTCAGTAGAAAGACAGCCTTGCTTCTTTGGCAGGGTCAGTATTTAACCCCGATGGTCCAAGTTTTTGGCCAGAGCTCCATCACTCAGTTTCTCACATCCCAACTCTTTGTCCTCATATTCATTCCCAGTTGACCAGACCACACACTAGAAGTTGAAGGCACGACGTTTCGGTCCGTCCTGGACCATTCTCAAGTCGATTGTCTCACAATCGACTTGAGAATGGTCCAGGACGGACCGAAACGTCCTCGTTCCTTCAACTTCTAGTGTGTGGTTTGGTCAACATACTTCAGCCACGTTATTGTGACTCATCACCTTCATTCCCAGTGCAGTATAAGAATATGAGCTAAGTGCTTTATCCTCAGGCCTTACAATTGTAGCATTAGCTATCACTGGTTTCCTCTTCCACAGATCTGCTACAGAATCCAGAATCGCGGGTGGACAGTGGTGAGAGACCCACAGGGGAGGATGGGCCCCTATGCCTACAAGCTTGACCAGTGGGTTGGCTTCGATGACGTCGCAATGATCAGATATAAGGTGGGTAGGGTGCGCATATTCAGAGCTCTTTAAGTAGGCGAGTTTTAGGGTACTGTAGCACAGTGGTCTATGCTGTTGGCTCACATCTGAGGATCCCTAAGTTCAATTCTCAAGCAGGACAGAGATAGTTGGGCACATTTCCTTTAACATGATGCCTTTGTTCACTTAGCAGTAAATAGGTACCTGGGAGTTAGACAATTGTTGTGGGTTGCATCCCGGGGAAGGTCAATAGTTGGCCAAAGGGAACCTCAGTAAGCCTAAGTACAGGCTACCTATTCGTGTCACTGGAAAATCAGTATTCTGTCATACATGTTCTGATCACTGTAGCAATGAAAGTTTGTAGGATGCTTTCTGCCAGTATATGTGGTTAAGCTATAAATTAGTAACAGTGATGGTATGATATATGAAGAAGGTTAGTTATACAATCAAATCAAATGTTTATTCAGGTAAAAGTACATACATAGAAGATTAGTTACGAACATAATGTTGGATTTATAGATAGAGCTAGTACATACAATACTAGTATGCATACTACCTCTCAGATCACTGTAGAACTGTGATGCACATTTGTTGTGGGGTGTGTATGTAAAGGAAGAATATTGAATATATAGAGGCAGTTTAATATAAATTATTGAATTGTGATTTTTTGTTCTAAATTACTGTATTTGTGCTGAGCATGGACTGTGGTGCAAATTTGCCTGAAAGTCAAGTACACTAAGGACCATGATCATGACACATTATGCTTACCACCCATATCTCATGCTCACCCCACAGCCCATGCTCATCCTACATCCCATCCTCACCCCAAAGACCATGCTCACCTCAGTCCATGCAGTATGGTCTGTGGGACTATGGCCTGTCATAACCATGGTTTTCTGTGTACATAGCTTGTGTTGGACACATACTTCATGCAGTGCACCAAATGCACTTTGCCCGAAATGCTGTGCTTATCAGTGGCTTTAGGCACTGTATGTACTAGCTCTATCTAGAAATCCAACATTATGTTTGTAACTCATCTTGTATGCACTGTATGTATTTTTACCTGAATAAACATTTGATTTGATTTGAGTGTGCCTGGTGTGTGATGTTTCTTCTTTTAAATGGTATAAATGACCATTTATACCTGGGAGGCCTGGTCGAGGACTGGGCCACAGGGACGCTAAGCCCCAAAATCATCTCAAGGTAAATTCAAGGTAACTTGTATATTGTAGGGGTCTATTGTATGTGGTATGTGTGTCACTGCATAGTTATATTGTGGACATCAAGAGATACTAATGGATGCCTTTTCTCTATCAGTCGGAATACATCAAGATGATGGGTCTTGGTGGTGGCATGATCTGGGCACTGGACCTGGATGACTTCAAGAACCGTTGTGGCTGTGAGCGTCATCCACTCCTCAAGACCATCAATAGGGTCCTCAGAAACTACCCGGAACCCGATCCTAACTGCCCCCTTCTCGAAGGTGTGTGAGATTCTTCGGCACTAGTAGTGATATTATTATTATTATGGTAGTAAATGACTTCAGTAATTGCAGTAGTATAATGCTGATAATAATTTAGTAATAATAATAATAATAATAATAATAATAATTGTAATAATAATTAAATACTATTTATAACAAATACCTGGATAAGATTGAGGTGATTACCAATAATAGTAGGTCCAGCATTTGTATGCTATAAAGCAACTACTGTAATTACACACAGCATTTTGAGTATACCATTTGATCGTGACTACGTATATTAATATGTGCTATTTTGGAGTAATACTTAATACTGGACTATGGTACATAAGCTGGCATACTGCATGTATGAATAAAATCATGTAATAGTGGCACTTGTTGGACTGTTAAGACTTAGGAAACTCAATGTAGTTATCTAGTACTGTAGATAAAATATACAGACATGAAGTCACAATAACGTGGTTGAAAATTGGACACGCAACTAACTCACAAAGTTGGCTTCGTTCTTGACTCAATCTGGCATCCAAGGTTTGATTGCCAGGCGAGACAGAAATAGTTGGGCACCTTTCCTTTCACCCAATACTACCTCTGTTCACCTAGCAGTAAATAGGTACCTGGGAGTTAGGCAGCTGTTGTGGAGTTGCTTCCTGGGGGATGGTTAGTGGTTGACCTTGGGGGACCTCAATACAAGCCTTAAGTGTGTGTGTGTGTGTGTCTATATATATATAGACACACACACACACACACACCTGTACATACATACATACATATACTGTACAGGCTTCTTAACCCCAACAAAACAAATGATCTGCAGTGCCCCTTATTCACATGTTCTTATGTTATCATGGTCTCATGGTTTACATCTTACTTTCTCGCCTTTTACTTCGCACTTTTTCTTTACGGGATCTGATAATGGTCCAGGATGGACTGAAACATCTTCACTTCCTTTCCTTTCAAATGTGTGGGTTGGGTGTCTAGATAGAATATAATAATATTGTTGGATAATGATAGTTTAGATGTACTGTAGGAGCCTACAGAGCTTGAATTTAAAAAAAAAATAATACATGGAATTCAATTTTTAAATTGAATATTTTTATTGATAAATGTGTGTTTTCAGTTATACAAATTTAAAACCTTTATTTTATAAAATTGCCATGCATTAATGAGTGACTGAGGTTGCAAAATTTCAAATACAACTGGATCTCCCATATTATATTAATAAGGGCAGGAGGGGAAACTTGATCCCCTCAACTGAGAAGTACCATAATTCCGGAGTTCAGGTGGTTGTGAGTACGATACTGGAGTCTTAATAGTACTTGGTAGACTATAGATAATAGATTATCTATTATCTATCTTATCTATTATCAAACAAGGACGATGGAAAAAATTAATGTTCATTCATTCTGTGTTTGTTCCATAGGTCAGGATGAAATGCAGCCATTCGTGCCCACAGAAACAGATATTTCTGATCAGGAGACCCCAGATGTACCAGATGTAGACCCTCTTGAACAACCAGAACCACCACCACCCTCACAAAGCACCCCATCACTGAGGAGTTGTCAGTCCAATACCCTCACCCCTCACCCAACAGACTGCGCTAAATATATGGAGTGTGTCCACGGCGAGTTAGTTGAACGGAAGTGTGCTGGAGGCCTCGTATGGGTCAAGGTTAGTGTTTCTGTGGCCCCCTCAGAGTATAAGAAACTCATCTGAGGCATGGAATTGGGAATGGGGGACGGGAAGATGGAATTGGGAATTGGAAATGAGAAGAGGGAAGGGGGATACAGTATTGCAAGTACTGGTGTAGGTTGGAATATACAGTACTCCAAGTGCTAGTGTGGGTTGACTCTGGATTATAGGCAAACAGATCATAATATTTTGTTGTTCCTGTGTAGTGTTATTTTGTAATTATTTATGTCACCAAAGTATTGAAAATTATTATTATTTGCCCCCGTCAAGCTTTGCTTTGACCTACGTCTAAGCCAGCTTTGGGAAGACGTCTTGAAGGTATCGGAAGACTGCCGACTTAGGGAAACCAAGTGTCACAACTCTCGATAAGAAGTCGGCAGCTTTCAAGTACAGTACTGTACCTTCAAGAGTTCTTCCCTAAGCTGTCTTAGGTAAAGGAAAGAGCAAAGTTTGAGGGAACTAGCCAATTTCTATACTTAGAGGTATAAGCAATCACAAATTACACTTATTAACCAGAAACAAAAAAATTTATATAAATAATAATTTATTTTGACAAATGTACATGCTGTATATTCATAACTTTTTTCTTTCCACATTATGCTCAAAAATGCTTTGTGGTTTTTGGCTTTAGGCATTGTACTTGCCTAACCTAGGAATCCTACACTGTTTTTGTATCCTATGTATGACTGTATGTACTTTTGTGTAAATAAACAATTATTATTTCTTATTTATTTGAATCTCGTTTCATAAATATTTATAATTTTCCTGGAATAATTTAAATTGGAGATGTAAAAATATTAATACCCTATTTTTTCTTCCTACAGGACAGATGTGATTGGAAGAGTAAGGGGTGTAAAATAGGTCAGGCTCCACAGGTTGGCTCTCCTGTCACAGTTGGTACTCCTTCATGGCACACTACCACCAGGACTCCCACTACTACTCGTACTACTACTCGTACTACCACTCGTACTACCACAACTACCATGGCCACCTGGCAGAGGCCCATTGTTCCTTCTCCGAGTACCCCATCGGTGGCCAGACCACCTGTCGTACCTCATAGTGGCTATATGGTGAGCTCCCTTGAGACCAAATTCCGGTTGTAGCTGACAGTTCTTACATCGAGAGATTTACCTGAATTTACCTGAAGGCCATCATTTATCTAGTGGCCTCAATGGGGACAGGAAACTGGTGGCTGGTCAAAGATCCTCTCCCCCATTTTCCTGAGGATTTTTTCCTTTAAGCTCTGTTTGTCATACCTACAGGGTTCTACATATTACTGTAGCTTCAAGCAGTCACTTATTTTGTTATGCTTATTCTTTATTATGGGTTTTTCTGAGGGAAGCCCCTTTGGCTCCATGGAGCTATCCGGCTGATACGGAAGTACTGTACTGTATTAGCTTTGGGCATCAGTCAATCTACATGGAGTTCTAGGCCTACCAGGGACATTTTAGTTGCAATTCTTTAGTAGTAACAGAGTTCTAGGCCTAAAATTGCATTTTAGTAGCAGTCCTTCACCAGAATGTGGAGGGGAGGGGGGGGATTTTGGTGTGCCTATCTTTCTGGGTGCCCAACCCAGTCGATGGCAGACATAGAGTACTTCTAAACCATATATCAGGTATCTCTATAGGCCATTGCTCCTCGCGCCGCTCTGAGGGGGGCCAGGTTCTGGCTCGTGGTCTCTGGGAGGCCTAGAACTCCATATACTTTGACTGATGCCTAAAGCTAATACTTCCGTATCAGCCGGAGAGCTCCGGGAAGCCTCCGCATCTCACCCAGAAAATGGCGTTTCATTACATTCAATGATGGTTTTCTTAGTTTTGGTTTAGTATCTAATTCCCCAAGCTTCCGCCCATCTCGTGAAGAGGCCCAAATTCTGGGCCTGACTTTTATTAGACAATGGTAGGTCTCGAAGGCCTGGTGCAATTTGCTAAGACATGGAAGTGCCAGTACTTTAACTATGAGAGTTAGTGAAAGCACACTAGAAAAAAGTTTCATTGCATTCGATGCTTAATTTTGACTTGTCTCTGTATGTCTTCATCTCTATCCTATAGCCTACACCTCTCATCCGCAGCTGTATCTTTACAGTTCACCATGTCTCATTTTTTTCATTTACAGTGTACTGTATATGTATTTTTAAGCTGTAGATCTTAACATATTTTTTAAGTATAAATATTTATATTTATACATCAATATAATCACAAATATTTAACTTGTGCGTTCATTTTGAACACTGCAGTAAGTATACTAATGCATCGTGTATGCTTGTGTGCAGGTTGTATGTTACTTCACCAACTGGGCGTGGTATCGCCAGGGGCCAGCCAAGTACAAGCCTAGTGACATCGATCCAAACTTATGCACGCATATTGTATATGGCTTTGCTGTGCTTGACCCCACCAAACTTGTAATCAGGCCGCACGACTCCTGGGCTGATATTGACAACAGTGAGTATTGTTTCTTAATCATAATAATAGTAATACTGTAGTGTAATAATAATTTTATTTGTTAAAAATATACAATATACCCGAGGGCCACTGTGTCTTCAGAATGTTAGAGTTAATCTATGTATTTCAGTGTGTTTAGGTGGAATACATCTTTATTAAACTCTTCATACTTCATACTAAATGTTTTGGGCAGTGTTGTATGACAAAATTATTTTTATTAGATAAAAGCTTTGCTATGAGCTCTATTCAATAAAGAAACACATGATATACAGTACAGTATTAGTTATGTATAAAACTGTATCATTTTATGTTAGAAGATTTCAGATATGAAAACCATGATTCATTTATTACCTCTACAGAATTCTATGAGAAGGTGGTTGCTCTGAAAGCACATGGAATTAAAGTGACTCTTGCCATCGGTGGATGGAATGACTCGGCTGGCGACAAGTACAGCCGACTAGTGAATGATCCAGCAGCTCGTAGGAATTTCAATGAACATGTTATACAATTCATCTTGAAATACAACTTTGATGGTCTTGACCTGGATTGGGAGTACCCTGTGTGCTGGCAGGTGAGATGCATGTGTACTGATATAGACTGTATGTGTACTGTGTATGTGTACTAATCCAGCCACTTGAACTGGTTAGTACAATGACAGTCTCACTTCTTGCAGACTGGCATTCAATCCCCAACCATCCAAGTAGTTGGGCCTTATTCCAATTACTGTATTGTATTCTCGAAGGTTAGAACATGAGATTATAATATTCATGGTCATTACTTTATCAACCATTCCAGAATGCTGATAATAAGGAAGATAATATTTTGCATTACAGTACTTTGTGGTCTTTCTCTCTCCCAGGTGAACTGTGAGAAGGGCAACCCAGCAGACAAGGCCGCCTTTGCCGAGTGGGTGAAGGAACTGCATGAAGCCTTCCAGCCTCATGGTCTCCTACTGTCTGCTGCTGTCTCCCCCAGCTACAAAGTTATTGATGCAGGCAAGACCTCTCAGTACAGTACTTTCAATTTTATTTGGCAAAATTTAAAGTTGAGTTACTGCTCCTCAACCAGCCTGCCCTTTTGAATAATATATTGAATCTTGACATAAAATTCCCTTTCAAAATATGATGTACCATAAATCATAACAGTTCACCAAATTGAAGAGGTGTTACGTTTTCTATTCATGGGTCCTCGGTTAGGTTAAGTTTGGGCAATTTAGTATACCATTTTTCTAGCTTGAATGTTGTGCAACATAGCAGACTTAGTAAGTCTCTCCATTCCCAGGTTATGATGTTCCAAAGTTGAACCGCTACTTTGACTGGATCGCCGTAATGACCTACGACTACCACGGTCACTGGGACAAGAAGACTGGCCACGTTTCACCTATGTACTACCACCCTGATGACGACGAACCCTTATTTAACACGGTGAGTGCCAGTCTGTGACCTGTGTACGTCCACTCTAAAGATCACGAGGTCTTATTTCTCACCATAGATGCCAGTGTAGATGTTCCAGTGCTTTTATAAATGCAAACTGTGTTAATTGATAAATGAAATATTTTTTTTATAAGTGATTAAAATGTTACTAAATTTTTTTTTTTTTTTTTTTTTTTATTATTTTCTACCACAAACGTGGCCACACATTTACAATGCTAAGCAGCATATATACATTTTCTTCTGTCCTCCATGGACAGGGTTAGAGATGTGTTAAACATATAGTTCAAGGGTTTATTGAACAACTAAGTTATTGGGAGGATACTTCCTCAAACCAATCGTTTTCCAGAATTAAATAATTTTTTACTTTAACATTTAACATTTCAATTCAAGGTGAAATGAATTGCTTAAATTGACTCATTTTTATTTCAATATTTTAATCATTAAGTTTATTTTGTAACTGTGTGGAAACAACTAATGTTAAAAGTCAGTAAGAGAATAATAAAAACCTATTTTTATTTCTTAACATATTTACACAGTTTCAGGAATATATATGCTGTATTATATCATTGAAGTGATATTGTATTTAGTACTTAGTTTCCATCATCCATATTTAGTACTTTATATTTTTAATAACACACAAAGATAATTTCTTTCTATCAGACATCAAGTAGTGTTTTCTAGAATATAGTTAAACTAATGTATTTTGAACTTTTTTCATACTTTTTGAATGATGAAATATAAAAATGTTGACATTCTCTCGCTGCACCAGAATTCCACCATCCATTACTGGATCGAGAAGGGAGCGGACCGCAAGAAACTGGTGATGGGTATGCCCTTGTATGGGCAGGCCTTCTCCCTGGGATGGCAAGCTAAGGGACACGGTCTTAACGAACATGCACCAGACAAGGGCCAGGCAGGACAGTACACCAAAGCTGCGGGCTTCTTGGCCTACTACGAGGTAACACATCAGTTGCAACCTTCGTGTTCTGACACCACTAATATGCAGTACATAATTATGATAGGAATAGAAAACCATTATTTCTAATGTTAATGATGTAGTAATACTATCATTGTTATTGTGTATTGAGAATAGTCACAGCCCATACTGATTAATACTGTAATATAAATCTGTATCTATAAAAGAGATAGATGTATCTGTCTGTCTGTGTGTCTGTTTGAGGTTGAGGGGCCAAATACTTGGGACCAGTCTCGACAAATCTTATGGAGTGACTGATCTTTGTTCGGGGATGGTCATTGGCGAGTTGAGGTTGACCTCCTGTACATGAACTGGCAAATGGAAGGTGGTGAAGGAGAGAGGGAAGGTGGTGAAGGAGAGGGAAGGTGGTGAAGGAGAGGGAAGGTGGTGAAGGAGAGGGAAGGTGGTGAAGGAGAGGGAAGGTGGTGAAGGAGAGGGAAGGTGGTGAAGGAGAGAGGTGGTGGTGAAGGAGAGAGGGAAGGTGGTGAAGGAGAGAGGGAAGGTGGTGAAGGAGAGAGGGAAGGTGGTGAAGGAGAGAGGGAAGGTGGCGAAGGAGAGAGGGAAGGTGGTGAAGGAGAGAGGGAAGGTGGTGAAGGAGAGAGGGAAGGTGGTGAAGGAGAGAGGGAAGGTGGTGAAGGAGAGAGGGAAGGTGGTGAAGGAGAGAGGGAAGGTGGTGAAGGAGAGAGGGAAGGTGGTGAAGGAGAGAGGGAAGGTGGTGAAGGAGAGAGGGAAGGTGGTGAAGGAGAGAGGGAAGGTGGTGAAGGAGAGAGGGAAGGTGGTGAAGGAGAGAGGGAAGGTGGTGAAGGAGAGAGGGAAGGTGGTGAAGGAGAGAGGGAAGGTGGTGAAGGAGAGAGGGAAGGTGGTGAAGGAGAGAGGGAAGGTGGTGAAGGA